AGAGGTGGCGAGCACTTGCTCAGATCAGCCGAGTTGCAAGTATGGAATGAGCAAGAAGAGCTGCTATCCTGGGGCTGGAAAGATAGGACTCAAAAAGTGAATTACAGCAGGAAAACTATAAGTGAAAACTAAGCGATGATGGAATGGGTAATACCCATTATGTGTGGGCTTTGGTTTTTTTGAAAGCCAAACAATTTGGATTATAAACATTAAAGTTAGTAGAAGATCCACATTTGGTATTGATATAGTTGGTAGGCAAGAAAAACTATTTTGTTCTTAATTCAAAACTGAACCAGTCTTGTATGTATACCCACATTGATGTTGGCGGTGCACGTATGAGTGATAGATTCGTTGGCCTCCTCGGCGGAGAAGAAGGGAGACACTCCGGAGATCTTGCTGTCGCTGGTCTTCTCCGCATCATTGAGCGAGGTGTCGCCCTCGCTATCGGATAGCTCCATATCAGACTGTGCTTGTTCATGGCCTGCAGAAGGTGCGATGTGCCCGTGGCGACTGAGCCCATTCCGTTGGATTGTCCATTTAAAGCGGGACCGAAGTCCTGCAGCTTCTTCTCGGAGCCAAAGGACAAGTGCGAGGTGAGCGACAACAGCTGGCCGGGCGTGCGGGCATTCAGATTCGGAGAGCAGTTGATTAGGTCCGATATCTCCAGATCTCGTCGCATATCGATCTTGCTCAGCCCAAAGTCAGTGAGCTTCACATGGCCACTGGACGAGAGCAGCATGTTATCCGGTTTGATGTCCCTGTGGACGATGCCGTGCTGATGCAAATACTGCAGTGCCATCACCATCTCGGCCACGTAGAAGCGTGAAGTGGGCTCGTCAAAATACCCAAACATGGCCAGCAGCGACTTAAGATCCCCGCCCACCATGTACTCCATTACCAAATAGACGTAGGATAGCGATTGCAGCGAGTAGAAGAGACTGACGCAGAACTGGGATCGGGATAAGGCCAGGGCATTCCGCTCGTGATCACCTGGGATACCATGTTCTTGTTTATCATCTCCGACTTGCGCATAACTTTGATGGCGAACAGTCTCTTCGAGTCGTTGTTCTTGTAGCCCAGGAATACCTTGCCGAAGGCGCCGCGGCTAATCGGTTTGATGATGACGAAGTCTTTGATCGTGGGAAGCTGCCATGGGAAGAAAGAATTAATTGATTTGAATATCTAGACTAAAAATCATACATTTTAAGAAGAGGAACTAGAAAAAAACCCATTGTTTTTCAACTGTAAGCCCTAAAATATTTTAACAATTTGCTAATAAATAGAATAAATAACAAATAAATATATATTAACTTGAAAATTAAACCGATAACCAAAACAAATTTTGTACCAGAAATTTGTTATTGAGCAAAAATAAAAATAAAAACATTTATTTGTGGATATGATAGATATTGGGTAAAATTTTAATAATATTACCTTTTCAATGGCATGGTATTACAAAATAGATGAACAAAATGGTATTTGTTTGGGTTACTGGATTGGATTCCACTACATATGTTGAATTTACCGTGTAAAAACCCAGTGAAAGGGAATGCATAAAAGGTAGGAAAGGGAAAAAGGCTAAAAACTACTGTAAAACAGTTTTTGTTTTGCGATTCCATTTAAAATTGTAATTTTGAGTACAAATTTACATCCGGAAATTAAAAACTCACTTTCGTTGCTAAATATTTAAATATGCAGGGCCGTTTAAAGACTTTTACAAGAATAAACCCTTTCCATCATTTGAATTTTTTCAGGAGCAACTGTGGCTAACTGTAAAACGCCCACGTGTGATACTCTTAAGTCCAGTAATTCCCACTTACCTTGGCATTTTGTGAGTGGTTCTCCGGCTTGGTGGTGAGGATATTGATCTTGTCCAGCAACTGCTCACTGTCGATCAGCGAGTGGGTCTTCTTGGGGGTTTTGTAGTCGATGTGAGCATCCGATTGCGAAGTCGCATCGGCGTTTTCCATATCTCCAAGATTTCCGATGGTCAGAGCGCGTTTTCTACGCGTTTATTTTTCCAAAGTCTTTGCAATTAGAGTGGATGGCGAGCCACACTTTTATCTCACGATGTTTGATTAATTTATATTATCTCGTTTATTGCACTAATGTAATATTTAAAAAAGACATTTAAAACAGCGCGTCTATTTTCTTCTCTCCAGTAGAGGTGGACAAAAGTTGATGGCAATATTGATTATATCGATGGTTGGGCTCCGTTCCTCTAGGCTATCACGTAATATTCCTGATAAAATAATAGTAACAACAAAATAATAAAATAAAGATCTTATTTAAAAAATTGTATTATTAATAATTGCAATTTTAAAATTGGTTAATTTTTTTTAACATAATTTTTGTGCCGAAATTCCCCTGCATGAATTCCCCAAACGCTTGCGATACTATCGCTGCCTTCAAATCTATCGATGGTTTCGACAGCCCTAGTAATTTCACGCATATTTCGATAGCTTCCATTTGTTATCGAATCTAAGCCACCTGGAATTTATTTACGTGCTGAAATTCCGAGTTTCCTTGTGAAAAGCCGCTTTCCATGAATGAAAGAGCAGCCCAGATAGCACCGAACTGAAAGTGAGCAATGTGCCAGAGGCCGCCGCTCACAGCAAGGAGCCACCTGCTTAATCGACCATAAAATCCCCGCCAGAATGATGCTCTATTTGCGCCGCTTCTTCAGCCAGGAGCTCACGCCGGCTGCCCAGGGCGACTTCCTCGGCTGCCTGCAGCAGGCACCCAACCTCCTGGCCACCGGATTCCCGGGAGCTCCCGCCCTGGAGAGCCTGAGCTGGTTACACAACCTGGCGCCGTGCTTCCCGCTGCGAGGCGACCAAATCCAGGTCATCCACGAGCCACAACACTTCTACGAGACGCTGGTGCAGCGCATCGGGCGGGCCAAGCGTCGCATTGTCCTGGCCAGTTTGTATCTGGGCACCGGGCAGCTGGAGAACGCCGTGGTCCAGAAGTTGCGTCACAGTCTGGAGCAGCAGTCCGCCCTGCGGCTCAATGTGCTCCTGGACTTTACACGCGGCACCCGTGGAGCCCTCAACTCCAAGACCATGCTGCTCCCCTTGCTCCGGGACTTTGCCAGCCAGGTGCAGCTCTCCCTTTACCACACTCCCGATCTGCGCGGGATGACCAAGCGCCTGGCTCCGCCGCGGTGGAACGAGCTTCTCGGGCTGCAGCACATGAAGGTCTACCTTTTCGACGACGCGGTGATCATCTCAGGCGCCAATCTGTCCAACGACTACTTCACCAACCGCCAGGATCGCTACATACTCATCGAGGACAAACCGCTGGCCGATTTCTACGCCCAGTTCATTGAAAGGGTGCAGGAGTTCAGCTTGGCAGTGGCGCCGGATGCCACTGAGGGACTGCATCGCAATTGGCGCATCCTACCGTACGAAGGAACCAAGGAGCAGTTTATCCAGCTTGCCCGTAAGCGCATCGCCGACTTTGTGCAAGAAACTTTTCAGCGACAGGCACAAGTCCGGGATCAGAACCCGCAGGCGGACACCTGGGTGTTTCCGCTCATGGAGATGGGCCAGATTGGCATCCATCATGACAGCGTGGTGACCAAGCGGCTGCTCTCCAACTGCGTGACAGGATCGCGACTGAAACTGGCCACCGGCTACTTCAACCTGACGCAGGAGTACATGGACACGCTGACGCACAAGTGCCTGGCCCAGTGCAGCATCCTGATGGCCCACCCCAATGTGCGTTTTATTGTCCAGCTGTCATTATATGTCACTTATCTATTTACTTTTCCAGGCGAATGGGTTTCAGGGCGCCAAAGGACCTGCGGGTGGCATTCCGGCTGCCTACACCTTGATAGCAAAGAGCTTCTACGAGAGCCTCGTTCGCCGGAAGCAGAACCACCGCGTCAACTTCTTCGAGTACGAGAAGCCCGGCTGGACGTACCATGCCAAGGGATTGTGGTATTACCTGCCCGAGGCCCGACTGCCAAACCTCACGCTCATCGGCTCCTCGAACTTTGGGGAGCGATCGGTGAACCGCGATTTGGAGACGCAGGTGTGCCTGGTGACGGACAACAAGGATCTTAGCCAACGACTGCAGGCGGAGGCGGACCGGCTTTATGATTTGTCTCAGACGGCGGAGCGGGAAATCGTCCAACGACCCGTGCCGCGATGGGTTCAGGCCGTCGTCCGCATATTCAGGAACTTTTTCTAGGCTCTTCGACTTCATAGTTCAATTTTTTCGTTCTTGTTAAGGCCATATCCCAAATAGTTACTTTAGTTTTTAATTCGTGTTTAATCTTTGCCCTGGGCAAGTGAGTGTTTCTATTGCTGGTAATCGTTGCTTTTGTACACAGGCTAAAGTTTGTTAACTAATAAAGAGAATTTTAACGGAATGAAGGGTAAGAAGGAAAAATGGCACCATGTGTTCTTATCACCAAGGGGATTAAAAGTTCAAAACCGATCAAGAGGTTCATAAATGTTTTAAGTTTTATTGACTAAGTGTTTTAAGAACCGAATATATAGGAAACATATTTTTTAAAAATACATATTCCTAAAGAAATATTTTTAGCCTATTTCTTTGTTCCTCCTTATTAGAAAATCGTGTATTGGAAAATGTTCGCAATTTAAAAAGAAATTACTAGAACCTTTCGCATAAATGCGTTCATTTAATTCTGTAGCGTATCCCGCCTTTCAGTTTGCTAGTGAATTGCTTATCGAATTACTTATCGAAAAAATCCAAAAATACCGAATACTGGAAATCTGGCCTTAGAGATGGGAATATCGTTCGTGCTTACTCGGATCAAAATTGAAACTAAAACGCGACAAAAAGCATACTTTAAATTTAACCGCCAACCTTCAATGTTTTTATATTAAAGAAATTATAAAATAATGTGTAACTCCGTTGGTTGTGGACCATGATGAAAATATATTATTAAAGTCGTATTTGATTTAATATCTATGAGCTCTTATTCATATATAAATTGTCATCTCTAAAGCTCTTCTCTCTCGAAAAAGACGCCGCCGGCGGCCAAGTCGCTCGCCGTCTTCAGTCAGCTGCTTTTTTTTGACCAGGTAAGACCGACTGGTTACCTGCGCGCCGAGTTCTCCAGTTCTCAAGTTCAGGAGCGCGTCGTTAAACGTTATGTGTTTGCTCGCCGTGAAAGTTAAATTAAAATAAATCTGATTATCGCCAGGCGAAAAACAAAAAAAAGCAAGAACGCGGCGCGTGCTTAGCAAAGTGCAAGAGTGTATTGGTGCTTAGAGAAGGCGATAGTGTTGGTGCCGCTCGGCTGGCATGTGTGTGTGTGAGCAGTGAATTCCAAGAATACAAGAAGAGCGACAAAAACAGAGTTTGCGAAAATGTCAAACAGGCGAAAAGTGCGAACAATTGATTACCTGGCGCTGCAGCAGAGCTTGCGCTTGCAAAAGACACCGGCAACAACAAGTTCAGTGGACATGGAGGCTGGGCAGGGGGCGGGGGAGGAGATGAATGGCAATGGGATTTGCACAGCTCCAGCTGAAGCTCCGCCCCCGACACCCCCCATTCCGCCCATAAGATTGCGACGCGAGCAGAGCATCGACGAGGATGTTGCAAGGTGAGCGGAGCACACCGGTACCGTTGGAATTTTGGGCTTTTCCCATTGCAAACAAAAAGAAGAAAGTCTGCATTGGCACGTAACAGCGCTCTCTCTCCCGTTTCGGTTTCTCTCTCTCTTTGGCTCTCAAAGCCTTGATTGTGGGTTTCCCCCCATTTGCTCACTCTCCCTCTCTCTCTCTTTTGCATTTCACCAGGTTTAATTGCTTAAACGTAAACAACGTGTTTTTGGGCCATGTTACTTTTGTTGTTGCCCCTGATGGCTCAACGAACCCGAGAATTTAGCAAACTGCAAGACAGGCACAAAATATAACAGCAACAAATTGCGAGTTCTGACTGAAATCGAACACTTTGTGTGCAGCGCATTTAAAATTATGCACAGGTGCACTGCGAAAAAAGCATGACCATTTTAACTGTCGATTAAAGTTATCTAGTGGTTATAATCTACAAAAGGGTTTTTTTTAGCTAAGACGGTTCTTTCATTAATCTATAAATGAAAAAGAAACAATTTTACTTGGTTTAAAAAAAATATAATGTTACAATTAAAAATTTAAAATCCATACTAAATAAGTTTCAGTGGGGTTTTTAATTTGTAAACACCTTTTTAAGCAGTACCAGTGAATACACAATTGCACAATTTAACGAAATTAGCTGCTAGTCCTAATTTGAATTTCGTTTAAAATATGCAGCATTTCAATAAGCTTTCCGCTCTTAAAAAGAAAAAATATTTGTTTGTTAGAAGTCCTAAAACTGATTTGATATTGATTTTGCAGTACAACAAATGTTTTAGAAAAAAGACCTGAGTGCATCGTTTATAGGTTCTGAAAATTGTATGGTATTTTACTACATCCTCTGTGCGTCGTTTTCCGGTGTATTTCGGCATTTATCATAGCCATATTTGTGTTCGGCCGCCTCAAGTCTTCCAAGATATTTGCTGATAACGCTGACGGTGCCCTGATAACACATACACACACTCACCTTGAGTGAATTACGGATACCTTTTCCGCTGTTTTTTTTCCTTTTGCGCGGGGGCTTATTCATAATATGCTTAAATTTGATTTGATTTTCATGGGACGGGTGAGTGTTCATGGGGGTTTAGTTTCGCAGAAAAAAGGCGAATGTCGTATGTTAGCAGGAAATTTGCTGCAAACATCAATTTTCTTTTGGCACCTGTTCCTATGGAAACTAATAGAAATTGGGTGAGATTTATGTGTCTGCTAGTGGCTCTCTCTTTCGTTGGAGCTCTCGATCTTTTTATATCTCTCAATTGAAAGAAAAAGGGTATATTGTTTTGGTGCTAAGGTGCAGAGAGGTAGAAATAAATAGCTTGAGTTCTATGAGTTATTTGATCTGCTTCTCGGGAACAATAAAAAGTCCAAACATAAGATTGTCAGGGCTGTGTATCTTTATCTTTCATATCCAAGAATTATCAAACTAAAAGACTGTTAAGACAGTTGCTTGTAATAAAGGTCACTTAATATTTTTAGGGTATTTCGTATCTATACACCGTGTGTTCTCATTCGATTTTATCTCTCATTTGATGCCGCCAATCTTGTTCTTCTTCAACTCGTATACCTGTTTTAGGGGCCAAGAAGAAGAGGAGACGGGGAGACTATTGGAAGTTAAAACGCGTTTAATACGTGCGTTTGCCCACTTGCTTTGTAACCTCTTTCGTTATTCGGTTTTCAAATCGAATTCGCTTTCTTCTCGGATCCCTGTCTATAAGGTTTTGTATTGTCACCTAGCTAAATGAATGGAATTCCACTGATTGAAGGTCTCTGGCCTAACTGTTTTTGGTCGAGAGAGAGAGAGAGCTTTGTTTTTGTACTTGAACTTGCAGGTTCTCCCTCTCTTTCTTTACCCGTTCTTGCCCTCTCTCTCTCTCTTTGGGCAGTCTGGCATGCGTACAATCAGTTGGTTTTAATTTTGGGGTTTCGGGTGTTTGATAAGCATAATTATGGCGTGTACAATGTACACACATCAGAAAACATTTCCGCATAGCGCACACAAACACACGTACCTCTGCCATTATAAGTAATTTTAGATATTTCAAATGTGTTTTTAAATGCCAAGTTTACTTAGGAAAACAGAAAACACCATATTCTTATTACAAACTGTGTTTAGTTTTCAGTGAGTTCTAAAAGTTGGTCCTTAATTTTAAATTTATAGATAAATTAGACGTACTTAAAAAACAATAAGTAACAACAATTTATATAAAAACTGAGTTAATTATCATATTTTGTTATGTTTAATCATTTCAAAGTTTCTTGTTATTTTAAAATTGTTGTTTCGATGTGCTTAACATCGCCAATTTACTGTTATTACTTTTAAAAGAATTCTCCGTATTATGGTTTCGGTCGTTGTTTTAAAACTGGAAAGATAAATATACAACATTCATGCTTAAAAAGAACAATAAATTGAGAAATACGGTCCTTTTCTTAGATTGGGTTTATAAGAATTGGCGGTGATTACGGGTCTAAATTTGCAACATCCTTCTTTCCAGCTCACTGTGGTTACCACGAACTCGTGCTATCAGTCAATGGGGGAAACAGCTAGATTAGTCATGACGAACAGATCGTGTCATTGATTTTTCAATGCCCTATGAATTGGGACCACGGTGCGAATGTGCAACGTTTCTATGTACACATATGAATATGAAGTATACGCACTGCTGGTCACGTGACAGTGCGGAACAAGCTAGAAAAGCCAGTGTAATAATGACACGGATTTTCACAAAACGCCAAGCAATTTGATTGACTGAAACCGAATAGATTTCTTCGACTTCCTGAAGAAACTCAACCGTATGCCTAGAACCAATACATATTGCGCCCCCACTCAATTTTCTGTTTAAGTAAACACACGGCTAATTAGCTAACAAGCCAGTATATAATAAAATTCCATAAATTTATAATAAATATTCGCGCGGTTAAACCAATTGCGAACCACAAACAAACGCATATGCGGTCCACAAGCGATCAGATTGCCACTTGCGTTCCACAACAAATCTCTGTCTCTCTCGGCCGTTGTGAACCTATCTCTTTTTTGTGCTCTTAAACTCCCTATCTCTCTCGCTCTATCTCTCTGTATATTATTTCTCTCTGTGTTGTCACAGAAAATGGCTAAATCAGTACAACCAAGTTGTAATATCTTAATAATATGATGATAAAGAGTTCGTAATAGCTATATATATTTTATATCTTGGCCTTCATCATATCGTTCATTTGGAGGGTTTATGATAGCTTTTATTGGTGGTATTACCAACCTTTTGACAAGGTATGATAAAGGTATTATTCCAATGAAAACAAGTAGGGTAATAGAATTGTTTTGATTTTTTTTATATTTCTAAATAAACTTTGAAAAAAAATCAATCCCATAAACATAACTTTCAAAAGAGTACCTAAAACAATGCTGCAATTTATTTTGAGGACCATAAATCTAAGGATATTATGCCCAACGACTTATTTCTTACAGCATACTTTTAGATAGCTCTTTCAAATTGGCCTTAAACCTTAAACATTTTTATGGCTTAAAAGAGTTCTTAAAAAGCCAGAACGACATTACTAGCTCGAAGTGGCCACCCACTAGTTGCTCTTCGCCGAGGGCGGCAAACAATCTGATGCGTCGGTCGGGCGCTCGCCGCTCGCGCTTTTCAGTTCGCCGCAGTTGGCAGTGAATAGCAGTCGTTTTGGGGGCGACACCGCTTCGTCGGCGCGGCACATTCGCATATACTGTATAACGATCCGTATACTATAGATGGGGAATATTCTTGTTAAAAGTGCTAATAAATTGACTGGCTGGGGCGGCAAGTGTTTCGCGTTATGAAATTCGAAAGGGTTAGAGGCGTGCGAACTACGGCCGCCTGTTTGCCATTTGTGATAAACCGCCACCCAGGAAACTACTACGGTGGGAGATAGTGCATAACCCCAGCCCCCCAGTAAGATTCCGCCGATTGGAAAAGGGAACCGGGTACCGGGGATTGGGGATCGGGACCGACCAGTCATCGTTCGCTGGCTCGCGTCTAAAGTTCTCTCCACCAGCTTATAATTGTGAGCTGTCGCGTTTTTTTTATTTACTGAGTTACTCTCAGCTCGTTCCGCCGTTGTTTTTTTGTCCCCGGAGTGTATTGTGCCGTGCAATTAGATGTACATAAATTGGCGGGGGACTCCGATCTCGCTCTGGCACCCACCGGAGAGTCTGAAAGTAATAGCAGCCCTCGATTGGGGCGATAAAACACAGTTTAAGCCCGAGGGCACTATCAACCGGTGCAGTGGGAAAAGGGGGGACTGCACTCTAAAGTTCTGTTTCTCTCGTTTCGTTGCGACTCGCTGATTTCCGCCGGTTTTGGAGTTATTGGGCCAATCACCAAACTGTGATTCCTCAGGCTGCTGGCAAAATGCGTCCCAGGAGGTGAGTGAATTTCGCAAATGGGCTGACGAAAAGAGTGGCGCGATTTGCTCAACAATCACACGATTAATTGGTCTCGAATAAATCAAACCTCTGCTCAAATTAGAGCATAATCGCAGGCGTGACATGCGGCTGTCTGCAGCAACAGCAGCAGTCCGATAAGATAAGAATGTCCTACCAAAACCCCGCCCCCATGTTACTCCCTCCATCAAATTTACATGTGATCCACTAGAAAAAGATATTCGAAAAATACAAGCAATGAAATTATTTCAAAAGGCAGAATGAAATTTACTATACTATAAAACATTAGTAAAACCTCTATTTGTGTTAAAGTTTTAAATACGTCCAAAGGACATTCAGTCATTCAATTTAATACAATTTAAAATATGGTTAGGCAAGCCTTCCTAAAATAATAATCAATTCCCAAAAGGCATGATTTGCATACTTATACACAAGTACAAAAATTTGTATTTGACATCTTAGTAATTTATTCATTTATAGGGAAAAAACCGTATGCGCAATTGCAGAGTTTGAAAACAATAAAAAGAAAAGTCTATTGTATTTCCAAGAAAAACTTATCAATTTTATTAGCCTTTAAATTACTTACAAACATTTAATGTTAAAGTAGCTGGGATATTATTCCCAGTGTAGCCGGCGTATTTATCAGAGTTATCGGCGATTAAAAGGCACTTGTCCGCCGTTGCAATTAGCGAAACAATTAGGGCAAGCCCTGGCTCTAGATTAGTGCAAACGAACTGTCAACCTCTTCCTCATCCGAATCCGTATCTTACAGAGTGGAGTACCGTGTAAAGCCTTCGCGGGCACAGCCGGTGGCTGGAGTTCGGATAGGAGCTCTCGAGGAGGACATGCCACCGGATGATGAGTTGGCCGCCCATTATGAGGCGTTCGGCACCACACCACCCCGCACCAGACTCAAAATCAAAAACCGCGATTGGGAACGCAAACAGAAGGTGGTCAATGTGACGGCGTGAGTATCCACAAAATATATACGGGGTGCTCCATATGGCTAGATGAGATATATGAGATATATATGGAAATAGGGTGGTTGCGATAAGGGTTTGCGTCCGTGCTATGGGCATGATCGCCGCGCTAGTGACGAACGCAGACGTACCTTATGGCCATATGCTGCCATATGCTGCACCTGGCAGTGCCATCTCTATGGCTGATGTCATCTCTGTTACCCCGATTGTCATTTGAAAATATTGGAACAGGCTAACGAAAAGATTATGTCAGCTTAAAATATGAATTCCCTAACAATAATAAAAGATATTCCACAAACTAGTTCAGTTATAATGTAAAAACATTTTTTTAGTTAAGGAACTAATATATTTGATATTCCAGAAACTATATTTAGTTAAAATGTATAAACTGTTTGAGATCCTCAATTTGTATACTTTAATAATCCTTGATTCATTATATCGTTATTATTCAGAACTATTTTTAATAGTTATTTGGTTCACTCAGATCCATCTTTTAACGCCTTTTTATATTGCCTTCTTTTTAAATTTAAAATCAAAATAGAATTAAAAAACCTCGCAAATTGTAACATCCTTCGAGTTAATAAAGGGAACGGTGAACTTTTCTTAAGCACTTCAAATCGACCACTTTTTAACCTATTCCATCTCAGTTCCGCAGATTTACCCGCCAGTGTGGGCGGCACCCCCAAAAAGGGTATGACCAGGATGGCTCGATCGCGTGTCCTGCGACGCAACACCATGGACTGCGCCCTGCTGAACGAGATGTTCGTCAACGAGGAGAACAAGCGGACAGACAAGCGGCTGCAGTCGCTGCTCCGCGATTCGGAGCGTGAGATGAAGAACTCGCTGGCCACGACGGCGGTGGCTCCTCCCCGTGGCAATAGCTTCCACGAGGCTGCCCATCCACTGGAGTCCCTGGACCAGATCATGCCACTAAGCTCAGAGGCGATGGCTCCGCTTCCAATGCGGATTGCGTCCAAGGTGGTGGAGAGCTGCAATCGCTACCGTTGCGTTTCCTCACGTCCAATTGGCTACCGCTCCTCGGCGCCGCCGTTGGCTTTTGCCGCACAACTTCCGGCCGGGATGCTGAGGAGCGATGGAAGGGCCACGCCTGGATTGGGAAAACGTAAGGACTTCCACGAGACGTTCGCCAACCTGATTAAGCTGGGCAGCGTGGACCGGCAGGATGCCAAGCTGTCGCAGGAGGAGCACACCTGGCAGACGGAGCTGAAGGATCTCATTTGGCTGGAGCTGCAGGCCTGGCAAGCCGATAGAACGGTGGAGCAGCAGGACAAGTACCTCTTCGAAGCGCGACAGGGCGTTTCCGAACTGCTAACCCACATCATCAACTACAAGTTCCAGCCGCGTTACCGCCGTGAGCCGAGTTTGATCAGCCTGGACAGCGGTATTCATTCCGACAGCAACTCCAATGCTAGTTGTAAGTTTGAAACTTATTTTAATTTGGCTACTCTTACATTAATCTGTCCAATCCCTTCCAGCACCGCTGGCCTAGCAAGATGTGCCAAGGCTGCATGTCCTTGTACTGCAAGGATTGCATGGACCATCAGGAGTTGGCCCTGCGAGAAGTTGAGGGCATGCTAACGCGACTGGAGGCCGCTGAGGCCCTGTACCCCTCTTCACAGGCCATGGGCGCCCTGCATCCCATTTACAAGTCACAGAGCTTTGTGGGCCGCATCAAGTCCATGTGCTTATGGTATAACATTACCAAGCAAAACAAGTTGAAGCTCAGTATTCTGGGAAAAATATTGGCCAGGCTGCAGGATGAAAAGTTCTCTTGGCCCGTCTGCACTTCATCCTACATCGCCACCGACAGCGGAAGTTCATCTGCCTCGGGAGTGGAGAACGATGACTCCGCTGTAAATTCGATGGACTCATCCAAGCCGCCTAGTGTGGCAGGATCGGCTTCGCGCAAGGTTGTCGCAACGGAAGTGTCACGCCCTGCCACAAGGTGCAGTTCATGTTGAATGATACAACCCATGTGCCCGGCGAGACATCGAGCAGCAATGAGTAAGTGGAAAATGTCAGAAATCCTAAAAAATAAATAATTTAAATATTCCCCTTAGATCAGCCTCCACGGAGATAAGCCAGTTGTCCAGCGAGTGCTCACACGGTCACATGCGCAAGGGATCCATGCACGACATTAACATTTTTAGTGTGGAGCCATTGGGTACTTGCAGCAATAATGGCACAGGAGAGCAATCCACGGGGCTGTATCGCAAGTTCATCGAGAACGTGCTTAAAAGTCGGGGATTGGCCAAGTCCCTGGCCTTTCTCCACAAGCTGCACAACGTGGCCCTGTACAAGGCACACATTGCTCTGGAGAAACCTGGAGTCGGGGACCTTGATTACGATTTAGACGCAGAGTCCATTGAGGAGGATGTGCCCAGGTTAGATCCACAAATCAGCCGAGAACAGGTCGTGGAGCTGCGCACCTACGGCTACTGGAGCGAGGAGGCACAATCGATTAATCTGCCCTCGTACATTCCCACCTTTGTATTCCTGAGCGGAATTCCGTTGCAGTTCATGCACGAGTTCCTGCGCATGCGTCTCGAAACGCGACCAGTGCGACCCAATCCCCTGAGTCTGGAGCAGCTGATGAAGGAACTAAGGGAGGGTTTGACCCTGGCCCTGACCCATCGGGAGCGATACCAGCGACACATTACCACCGCGCTGGTGGAGAACGAGACGGAAATGGGCAGCTACATTAGCATTCTGAACCACTACGATGCTACGGTGCGAAAGACTTTCGAGCTGTACCTGGAGTACATCGATCAACTGGTGCTCGTTGCCGTTCCGGAGGGAAACCAGAAGTCTGTGCTGGAGAAGGAGTGGATGTTCACCAAGCTCATCAGTCCCATGATCAAGGGCATGCACACTTTGGCCTCGCAGAAATTCTGTGGCATCATCAGCAAACTGTTGCGAAACATTTCGGAACGCCTGGTGAAACGCACCGTGGAGCTGGACCAACAGATCGAGGGTACTTCCGAGAACGAAGACAACGAGGAGGTCAAGTGGAAGCTGCTGACCATCTGCCGGGAGACGCAATCGCTGCTCACCGTAGAGCGGGAGCGCTCAATAAAGGTGCTCTTCTTCGCCAAGACCTTTTGTCGCGACGTGGAGACGACGGACTTCCATCGCGAGCATTACGAGCATGACGTGGCCAATCAGCAGCACGACTTCATATGCTCGGACGTGAAGGCGGCGTTTAAGCTGCTGCAGCAGGACGTTCTGCAAGTGCGCAACAAGCTGACGGCGATTATCGAGGGTGTGCAAAAACGATGCTGCTTGAGCAACATGCGGGACTTAGACGAGCAGGACAAGCAGGCTGTACTATCGCGCACCCGTGAAATTCTCCATCAAGGCTACAAGTTTGGGTTCGAGTACCACAAGGATGTAATTAGGTTGTTCGAGCAAAAGATAATGGACCAAAAGGACAGCGGTGCCCATACGGTGGATCTGGCATTGGGCATCATCGCTTACGCTAAGATGTGGATGCATTTCGTAATGGAGCGCTGCGAACGTGGGCGAGGAATGCGCCCCCGCTGGGCGTCCCAGGGTCTGGAGTTCCTAATTCTTGCCTGTGATCCGCAAATCACCCAGCACTTGGACGATGACGAGTTCGAGGCGCTCAAGCAGCAGATGGATCGGTGTATTTCGCACGTAATTGGCATCACCTCGGAGCCCGAAAAGGTGGCCAAGAAGAAGGCATCGCCGCGCACTCGCAAGACCTCGTCGCCGGCCACCTCGCGCTCCCGGACACCCACTAGAACTCCCATGTCCGCTGGCATGGTGCTCAATCCGAATACGCCGCCACTGCAGTCGCCGCCGTATAACAAACTTCTGCATCCGCAGTTCAGTTTAAAGGAGGATCTGTTGCAGCAGTCTGGAAACACGTATAGTTCCGTGGACAGTGCAGACTATGTTGACACTCCGTGCCAAAGGAGTCCCAATGGCGAGTTGCGCCTGCTGGTACCCCAGACGCCTCCAACGCCTGCCTCCTCTGGAAAGGGCAGCATAGAGACTACACCGCTGGCATTGCGCCAGGAAAGAGTTAGAGATGCCGTAAACCGTTTGGATATGGATCTAGAGGACGGGCTGCGTGAACGCAGGCTGATAGGCCAGGTGAAGTCCCTAAATTCCAGCGACAAAGTGCATATAAGAGCTCGTAGCGTCCACTTCCGCTGGCATCGCGGTATAAAGATCGGCCAGGGACGCTTCGGCAAGGTGTACACCGCGGTGAACAATAACACGGGAGAGCTGATGGCCATGAAGGAGATCGCTATCCAGCCGGGCGAGACGAGGGCGCTGAAGAACGTGGCCGAGGAGCTGAAAATCCTGGAGGGAATCAAACACAACAACCTGGTGCGCTACTACGGCATCGAGGTGCACCGCGAAGAGCTGCTCATCTTCATGGAACTGTGCTCTGAGGGTACCCTGGAGTCGCTGGTGGAGCTGACTGGTAATCTGCCGGAGGCTCTTGCACGCCGCTTCACCGCCCAGCTGCTGGCCGGCGTGTCTGAGCTCCACAAGCACGGCATCGTGCACCGCGACATCAAGACTGCAAACATCTTCCTCGTCGACGGCAGCAATAGCCTGAAATTGGGCGACTTCGGATCAGCGGTCAAGATCCAGGCGCACACCACTGTACCCGGCGAGCTGCAGGGCTACGTGGGCACGCAGGCTTACATGGCACCGGAGGTGTTTACGAAGACTAACAGCGATGGCCATGGCAGGGCCGCCGATATCTGGTCGGTGGGCTGTGTGGTTGTCGAGATGGCCTCGGGCAAGGTGAGTGCTTTACATTAGAGATAACGATGACTACTGTGGCGTGGAGTGTACTGTGCATTTCACAATGTAGGTTTTTTTCAAACAGACAATAATATACTAATCCAACTATGTATACATTATGACATTGCGTTAAGTAACTGGTTATTTCGATCTAGAAGAGAAACCCAGTTACAATTCTTTAACAACCCCAAAAAAGTTTAATATTCCTAACCTTGTCTATGTCTTTTAAATTTGATTTTCATTTTATTTATTTGAGCTTATACTTGCACTTAATAATAATAACAGATAAAAGAAAACGTTTCCAACCCCACCAAGTAAATGTGTTCTTGATCACGATTACTTGCCGATACCGTCTGTCTGTCCGTTCGTCTATATAAACGCTGTAAAAACTATAAAAGCTAGAAAGTTGCGATTAGGCATGCAGATTCTAGAGATTGTTGCGCAACTTAAGTTTATTTCAGCAGGGTGCCACGCCCACTATAACACCCACAAACCGTCCAAGACTGTGTCAAAGATTGAAATTTAAAATACATTTTATTTTATTTCGCTGACCATTAATTTATAAGTAACGATCTTCTGTCCGTATTTACCATGATCGTCGTCAATTAAAGTAGATTAAATGTAAAAATTATATTTATTTTGAAGTTGGTTATCTGAGTTACGGGTATCTAATAGTCTAGGCAAACGACTATAGCGTTCTCTCTTGTTTATAATTTATATATTTCTTTGCATAAGATTGTTCTCATTAAATTCGGCGCCATCCTTAAAACAAATGTAAGCATTGGATGATACATAATTTCAACATTTGTATTACAAAGTTAAATAACAATTGTTTACAAAGCAGGTTAGAAAGATTACAAACGGATACCAACGTACTTAAAAGCAAAATAACTGATATTTACTTATATCATCCGATGGTTAATTTATTTTCTTACTTTCTTACAGCGACCTTGGGCCCAGTTTGACTCCAACTTTCAGATCATGTTCAAAGTGGGCATGGGGGAGAAGCCGCAGGCACCGGAAAGCCTCTCCCAGGAGGGACACGACTTCATCGACCACTGTCTGCAGCACGATCCCAAGAGGCGCTTGACGGCAGTGGAACTGTTGGAGCACAATTTTGCAAGGTACGTCGACCTGTGATTAGCCCTCCTCCAAAGGTGGATGATTGACTTTGGTTTCTTTGTTGCAGTACGGTCGAGACGAGTGCAGCAGCGAGCAGTTGCAGATGCAGGTGCGAGGCTCTTTCCGGCGGAATGTGGCGCCCAGCAGCTAATCGCAATCTGGTGCTCACTTACTTAAACCGCCGTTTGTTTGGCTCACCTCTACTTATGATGCATACGTAAAAGGGTGTGCATTTTTGTTTAGTGTCTAATTTATGTGAATGTCGATTATTTTAATGGCCACGCCTAGTTTTATGTTGAACAATTTTTAACCCATATAAAGTTATCAAAAGCCTGTCGTACCGTATCCCCAGTTATTTAATGCAAGTGAAGATTACACATATTAAAATATAATTGCAGTAAAAGTTTTAATTCATCAATCAACGATGAGTATGACTCTATCCGTAAATAGGATACAGGGTGGAAACCTGTGGCGTGGCATTTGTGGTCTCAGCAGTCGGTGGTCCGGTAAAACCAGTAGAGTCTCCATCGTAGGGACCAGTCGGTGGAGTTGGATCCGGAGGAGAAAGGCTGGAGAAGGCTGTGACCCACGAGGAGCACAGCATGAACACCAGGCAGAGGCTGAGCAGCAGGTTGAAGTCTGGAACGAGTTGGGGGGATTAGGCGAATGGTCCACGGATTGTACTGACAGCTACTCCTTTTTCTATACTTACACTTCATGATGAAAACGCGTTTGAGACTGATGACCGTACCTCGACGTCCAGGGCTTTTTATAGAAAACCACTCGGTCATTGCGATAATATTTTATATTTAATTAATTTTTCAAAACACCGTCTATCTGGCAGTGGTTTATCAATGGTCTCTTATCGTATTTACCACTTGGATATTAAGAACTGCGCATAGCAGATTTGGTTTTTAAGGTGAGTGTTTTCAGCGGAAGACGATTTATCTATTCTTGGAAGTTACGATGAAATGTACATACTATGTGAACAATCTAGCACCCAAAGCCAATCTATATACGGGTGTTTTCATTCACGGGCAGATCAATTGTAGGTCAGGAATAATGGTCGTGATTTGCAATGCATTTATTTTATTTTATTCGGTTCGTGATTATTTTTGCATACATCAATTGCGGCTCTTGGCCTTATGGAAACAAGTCAAACTTAACGACAAACAGTAAGGTAACGTAATAATAATAGATAGATCGAATACAGGATAGATAGTTGGATAGTTTGTAGCGATAGTTCGGTTAACAGTTTAGAAGATAATCATACATATATAGCAACAATGAACACAGCAACTAGTTTGATATATGTATCTGGTTGTCCTTTAACGTTTCTCATATAATTTCTCTTGTAAATAACATACGTATAATATTTATGTATATATTTTTGTAGAATATTGATAGCTTCGAATCGCCATCCAAACATACTTTTTTTCACTAACGGCTTGAACAGACAAACACATATAGGTTATATATATCTATAGCTGTAATCTCCCTCAATTGTCCTTCCTCTGCTCTTCTTCTTGCCTTCCTTGGGGTGTATATAAATTTATTGATATGTATTGTTACGTCTCAAGTCTATACGCGTATTTTCTATATATTCCACTACTTTTCTTTATATTTTCACGGGTTGTACATTTATATATTCATCCAAAAAGCCTTTAGTTACGGTATACCATTTGCTCTCTAAAACACGCATATATATGGAAATACATATCTCAACAGACACTATATAATTTTGTTTAATAAATTCAGAAACGAACAACAACGAAACTGCAGTAACAAGCATAGAGAGTACTTTTAGTATATGTTTTAGCTAGTATCTTTTGTAACACCTATAGAACCGTATTCGAAACACAACTCTCGTAACGAAAAGTATTGCATACTTGCGGGCTTAAACGCCATTATTTGCGGACAGTGGGGGCTAAAACAAGTTCGTAAGCTCTGCTAAATTAGTTAGCGCTTGAATTAGTATAACTAACATTCATAATTAATATTGCACAATAAACACTTAGATAACAGCACTAACAGTTTGCGCATAAAATGGCTCTAAAACATTTAATTGACTAGAGTTGCTCTAATTCCAACTACGAGGATACTTAGGTAAACGGATATGTAAAGCGAATGGGTTGCATAAATAGTTTTTCTGTTTTTTTTTTTTGCTTGTCTCAACATGATAGTGATTGACATTAGTTTTCGATTTCGTAATCCTTCTCGGATCTTCAGATTCTCAGATCCCCACCCCTCGTTGGGTGGCTCGCTTGGTGGTGCTTGGTCACAAATGAAACGCCCGGGCGGTCGCTAGTTACACTTACTTAGTTTCGTTCGCTAACCTGCTAAGGTACATTTACTGATATGTTTTGGTTGGAACCCCTTTTAAGGCTCTAATTCTGTAGTAGATCTCGCATTATGTCCAGCGAGTCCTGCAGCGACTTAGCGTAGCGCGAGGCACTCGTGTCCTCGCAGGAGTAGAAGGCCGACACGCAGAAGACGATCTGCTCCGGCTGGGGATTGTAGGAGCAGCCATATCCTCGAGGCGTCACCGGTCCGTATCCCATGAAGCTGTCCGTGGAGCAGGCCACCTATGAGGAGATTACAAAGAGGGAATTATAACGATTCTTGAACTTTATAACTAGGCGTCGCATTTTATGTGAAATCGTTTAATCCAATTTTTAGCGATCTATCTAGTTATGATATTATAGAAATATGTTTATTGAATATAGGCTTTAAAAGATCAATTTCACATAGAATACGAAGTCTACTTATAACATAAATCATAAATTCTTTAAGCAGAACAGTTAGACCTTCATTCTAGCTGATACCTACTTGTGCAGCTGGCTAGTAGTGCTCAGTGATGGTGCTGTGGTGCAAGATTTGATTAGGTGGTGCAGGTGTGAAAGAGTGCAGGGTGGTGCGGTGCTTTTTTAGCGGGGACCTGATGGCCCATTACTACCTGACTGGTGGAGAGCAAGAAGCACTGCGAGATGTTGTACGACTCGTCCTTGAAGAGCTCGTGCATCTCGCCAGTGACCTCTATGCTGGCCTCTCGGAGTCCCAGCAACGGGATGTCGATGCCATTGCCCAGGATGTTCTTCACCATCACCTCCGTCTGGCGGGCGACGGCGCAGCGGAACAGCTCACGCAGGTGATCCTTCTGTGGATGGGAACGAAGATGAGCAACTCATCCCGAGAAGGTGGGTATACGCTGGAATACCCACACTGTAAATGCTAAACTTGACCTTGCGTGACTCCTCCTCCTCCTCGCGATCGCTCTCCAGGGCAACGTTGGCGCCCTCGCCCTGGCACATGGCCTTGGCCCACTCCAATGCCTCCGTGCTGGCGGCCCTGATGCAGTCCACGCGGCCCTAGATGGGATTTCACGGAGAAAAATGAAATGGATGATGGTCAGACTAACAAATTGTAATGGCAAAATAGAAACTTACAAAATTGATAATTGATAAATAACATAAATATTACTAAAATTAACTGTACAATACGGTTCAACCTCAAATAGAATGTTTTGATGGTAAACTATTTAATAAAAAAAGATAAAATTTGACTGAGTACACTATACACAAAGAAATATATTATTTATATATTATTATAAAACATAATCGTTCTTCTTTTTATGGGTGCCAATAAGAGAACGAACGATACTATCGAAAATAGTGATGTTCTTAAATTAAGAACATTGTTCTTGAATTGAGAACATTTTTCTTGAATTGAGAACATTCGTTCTTAAAAAGCGTGTAAGTACATTTTGGTATCAATATTAGAACAAAATGGTGAGAAGAGAAAAGTTAAATTGAGTTTATTTAACAACTTTTTGATAAGTATACACTAAGAACTGGACTTATAGTTTATTTTTACAATATACTTAAATACCGCCAATTCAACTTGATTCGAGCAAAATAAAAACATTTTTAACTTAAAAGTGTCGTTCTATTTTTAAGAACATTTTCAACTCAGATGAGAACGTCAGAATTTTCTCTATGTAATATTAATAAAATTAAAATTTGATACATATTTGTAATATCGACCGTTTTCGAGATTAATAATATTGTTTTGCTCTAGGATATGATTAACTTGCTTAGTTTCATAGATGGGTTAGTGTTAGTATAATATTATCTTTCTTAATGCTCAAGAATGTAGAAATTTATAAACTCACATGCAAAAATCTCCGCGTGGATGCACTCTCGTAGGTGGCCACCAGGTGCCCGTAGAGCTTGTAGTGGGCCAGTTGCAGGGCCAGCTGAATGTAGACGTCCGGACTGACCTGACATGACTTGATGAAGGTTTTCCCGTAACTCTGGTAGCGGTAGACGTAGAAGTCCAGATCATCGATGCATTTATCCACGCTTTGGGAGGCTTGGCCAAATCGCAGTTGGAGTGGCTGATTTACATGCCACTCCAGACGCTCCGGTGGCGGCAAGTGATGCTGCGGCAGACCGTTATCCTCGGCCGGGTGATCCTCGATGTTCTTGTAGATCTTCTCCAGCAGCTGCACCACAGCAATGCCCTCGGAACAGGAGTGCTCATAGCACAGGCCCCAAGTTCCATCGGTACAGATAATGAGCTGGGTAAAAGAGTTTAATTTTTAATAGGAAATGCTAATTTAGGTTTGAAGATATATCTAAAATTTTTATGGACTTAACAACAATACTATGTCCATAAGATAACTTTTCAATGTTTACTTTAATCTAAATGTTTAACTAAATAAATAGTATATAACAACCTGCATGGTCTTGTCGAACCAGCGATTTCCGGAGTTGTACTCGCTGCCTCCGCCGTGGATCATCTCGTGGGCCATGTTCGTCTCGTCCCGATCCCCAGCCCTGTGGACAGTGGGCGTGGCGCCGGTGAAACCCCGGGCATTGAAGTTCCCAGCCAGCGGTTCGTCCAGACAGAGCACCACCTGGGCGGTCTCAATGAGCTCCAGATTGCGCTGATTCCGCTCGTCCTGCTGCAGCATTTCGCGGTCACGTGCCCATCGGCTTCTTGGTTCGGCGGTGAGCAGACCCACCGGAGCGGGCTTAGCGGGCAGACAGGGAGCATCGCTAAGGACGTAGAGGATCTGCGAGGCTATCTCGCTCTCGGACAACTTGCCACGATCGTTGGCCTGCAGGACAACGCAGTACATCTGGTTGCGGCAGATGACCACCACATGCCGATCCTCGTCGTTAACACGCTCTCGCGACGGCAGGAACTGGGAGTCCTGCTCAACACCTGGTCGACGGCAGGAGCCCAGGAGTCGATAGTACTGAGCCATGCACAGGGGCTGATTCTTCTCCCTGGAAGCAGCCCGCTCCAGCGGCAACTCCCCACTGTCCAGCATCTCGCGGTGGCTCAGGATCCCGTCCAGCAGCCGGGCGGCGAAGTGGGCCACGTCGTGGACCGTCTTAAAGCGACGTGGCGGGAACACCATGCCTGGATTCGAGTTGATCGGCAAGGGGATGCGAATGTTCATGTACATTTCGTTGAGCCAGTAGTAATAGGCCTGTTAAGAAATAATTTGAATTGCTTAACATTTTCAAGAACAGTTTTTTGACACTGCAGATTTTTCAAAATTTGGTTCTTCATCCCCTTGTTTTAAACTATAAATTTTTATATGTGTCCTAGGTATAAAACCTACTCTTAGTTAAACATACAGACAAGAAAATTACCGTTTATAAAACTGTACTACTGAAAGCATATAATTTAATTATAATAAAGTTTAAAATAAATTAAAAAATTGCATATTCAAATAAAAGAAGAAGAAGAAGTATTGAATGTCAGAGTTTTAAACCTTCTTTTAGTTAAGAGGTAGAGGAGAGAGAATAAGATCAAATAATAATTTTAAATTATGAAATATATTTTAAACCTAGAAAATGCAGATTGAAAGATAAAGAGCCTAGAGAATTTAGAGTTTAAAACATACTTAATAAAACTAACACTTAATAAAACTAAAAATATAGCGAAATGGATCAAATAATAATTTTCAGCGCAAGGTCGTAACATGAAAAAAGTGTTAATGGTCGCTATTTCCTTTTCGTGTTCGACACAAATTCAATTAGGTGAGAATTTTGGGAAACCTTTTTTGGGGAGCGGCCTATCTGAAAGCATCGTGCGGAGATCGCTGATAGGTGAATACTGATTTCTGATGTCTGATTACTGATCGCCGATAGCAAGATGCCAGGTGGTATAAATAATGGCAATTGGACCGTTTAGAGAACAGTACCACAGTTCCCCTTAACAATCACGGATCCTCAAAAACGGACACAGCCCCGAAATGAAAGGTAGGATCTATTGGTGTCTGAGAGATTTGTTTCTATTTATTTATAATTTTTTCTGATCCTGGCAGTATTCGCATTGACCCTTCTGAGCCTGCTGGCTTTGAGCCAGGCCCGCATGGACTACAAGCTGCAGTGCGCCCGCAGTGAGATCAGCATCCGCTGGCCCAGTTACTACAGCAACTCGGAGTACTATGTGTGCCCAAGCGTCAACGGCAGCCAGCTGACCGTCCACTGTCCGGCCGGCGAGGTCTTCACCTTCGTCCTCCAGCAGTGCGTGTCGCCCGCCCACTACATCCCGGCCCCGCCCATGGATTCCCTGCCCACCGCTGCTCCTGTTACTGTTCTGGCTCTCGAGGACTCACCACCAGTGATCTCCGCACAGTCTCAGTTGAACGTTGAGACCCCGGAGCACCACGACCACCACGAACACCAGGAGCACCACGAACACCAGGAGCACCACCAAGAGCATCACGAGGAGGAGGTTGAGGCCCACCCCATTCCACCCACCCCTGCTCCAGAGCCACCAACCCCACCCACCGTCTCGATCTCCAAGCCCGTGGTACCAGTTCCCCAGAAGTCGAAGAAGCCCTCGGTCCCTGTGCCCGCCAAGAAGCCCACCGTTCCAGTGCCCTCCAAGGCCGCCATGGCCAAGAAGCCCACTGCCTCCCCCAAGAAGCCAGCTGCTCCCACTCCCGCCAAGACCGCCAAGAAGCCAACGCCACCCAGCAAGGCCCAGAAGAAGCCAGCCACCGCCTAAAAGCCAGTTCGATCCCGACCAGAATCGCCAGTTCAATGCCCATCAGCAAGCGGAATTTCATTCACTACTCTAAATAGCAACCTAAAGTAATTAAATATCTAACTGGCAATGGCTTTCGTTCATATGTCTCAACGGGAATGGAAATGGGTTCGGGGAATGGCAGTTGTTGTTTCTAGAACTTCCTTATCACGGTAGAGAGTCGAAAATGGGTAATTGATTGCGATTTCTTGTTTTTCACGGAATATTTTGATATGCCGCCATTGACAACCGAATCTGATAATGTAAAATTAAAAGGAAAAGTGAAGCATTGATAGGAACTGACTGTCAGAACTTAGGTATGAGGGTACTCCTTCCGGGATCGGACAATAATTTGACATTATCTACCTTGATTTTTAGTTTAACTTTAAATCTCCAGATTAGCATTGACAGGTAGTATAAATGGTGTTATGGTATTATTAATGGTGTTGTTATAAAGGAGACAGAAATTATCATTAAAATGTAGGCTAGGTGGAACCAATGGTTTTCCATATTTTGAACTATTAAGAATAAATTATGAAAACATAAAATTCTTATACACCATAAGCTTATCAATTTTGGAAATGAATTTATATAAGGACTATTTTTGATAAACTTTGATAAACTTAAAAATATTTTTAAAATGCATCTTATAAAACACAATTGCAGTAGATTTTAACGAGTAATTTTAAGGAATAACTCTATTCTTAAAAGATTATCAAATGATGCCATAGGTATTTATATACTCTTAAAAATTCGACCCTTATCTAACTCATATATTTCAAATTCTCCTATATTGAGGGTATTGTTCCTTAGTAATCACCACGACAATTCAGCATTTTTGGAGAACTCAGTGGTTCCCCAAATCGAAAACGATGGTGTTGTGGAGTAAAAACGACTGCTATCTGCATGCCACAGATAAAGTGCTGAGAATTTGAGTTCGCCAGAAAATATCATGAAGTCATTAACAGGGGGGCCGGGATCTCCGACACCAAGATCATCTAGCCGCGATGCTAATTGACATGACACTTGGAATGAGGGGTTCCTACTACTCGGAGTCACTTGGCCGTCAGATTCGGAGTAGTTTCCGCCCCCGACCTTATCTGGCCGAGATTACCGAACGAAACTTCGGGTTCGACGAGTCTAAGGCGCAATTAAGCATGCAAGGTTGGCATTGCTGATTTCATTTTCGCACCCGGGCGAAACAAACACGAATTAATCTAGCAGCGGGCTGATTAAACGTGTCTAACATGGGCTGTTGTGGCATAAAAAGGCTTTGAAGCTGGCTGGAATGCATCAGTGATCGGTGAGCCAAGTTAGCAGCCAGACGTAGCCATTCTTCATTATCAAGTGAACGGAAAAGGAAAAATCACCAGCAACATGATGAAAACCGGTAAGCAGTCGCACCCCCAAGGCCACCAGGATATAGCCCATTAGTAACACACCATACCATCCCAATTCCATACCCCAATCCCAAAGTGATTTTTGTGCTCGCCGCCTGGGTGGCCGTAAATGCCGATTCCTGCGCAAATCTAAAGGAGTATAGCGAAAAGATCGATCCCGTCGTCTGCCCGCAGGCTATGAAGCTGCCGAACTACGAGAACGCATCGACCTACTACCACTGCTATGATAATAAATCCTACACCGTGCAGAACTGCGCCTCTGGATCCTTCTTCAACATGGCGATGCAGAAGTGCATGTCCTGCGACAACTACTTCCCGAGCGCCGAGTGCGGCAGCTTGAAGGTCAACGTCACCTGTGTGCCCATATCCGCCAGCCCTACTGCTGCGCCCAATACCACCACCGCTGCGCCCACAACCACCGCCGCCCCACAGACCACCTCTGCCCCCAGCAACACCACCATCACCACCGAGGCACCTGGCGAGACCACCACCCAGTCGGTGCCCACGCCACCCACCGATTCTCCTGCCACCACCGCCAGCACCACCAGCACCACCAACAACGACGACATCATCACCCCCACGGGCACCACCATCTCGGTGCCCCAGCCCCCCTCCCCCGGCGAGAGCAATGTCCCCACCCCCGTGACGCCCGCCCCCACGGCCCCGGTCATCAACGACTCCCCTCCCACGGCGCCCTCGGCCTCAGTCGCCAAGTAACTTGAGACGATCCCATCCAAGTCCCAGAATTTTCGGCTGAAGCAACACATATGATGATGGAATATACTTTTTTTATGTTGTCAAACAGCCCAACAGTAACTTAAAATACAAGAAAATTTGATTGTAACCTTTCAAAAAGAAATTGTTTGTTGAATATATTTATTTTTTCATTTTTTAATGGCATATTATTGCAAAAAAAAAGGACATTGATAAAAAATCTTAGTAAGTCTATTTATTTCATAGACAATTTGAATATTTTATTTAATTCGATGATCCATAACTTTAAATATGAAAATATTAAATTGATCAATAATAGCTAGTTTAAGGATTTTATTTTTTTTGACAATTTTTCATAAAATCATAGTACCTATTCGATATTGAATAGACCCCATATAATATTTTCTACTTTGATTTGAATATCTAATTTAATTAATAGGTTTTGAATATTAGCTGTTGTTTTTGAACAAAATTTTGATTTCAATAAGTAGATTTTTATTTTCACCACTATATTTTTTATCAGTGTGCCTATTTTTTGATTTCAGAAGGCTTTCGTGGGAACCTATCTAATAATAACTCATAATTTAAATTTATAAAACTCAACATATTGATTATTTTCAAGAAACAATAAAGGGTGAAGGTAATTCTTAAAAAATAAGATAAATAAGAGTTTTAATTTCAAACTACATTTAATTAAAGACCCCTTCGGTAATGCTCACCCAGTTGTCCTCCGCCTCGCGCTTGTCCAGCAGATACTGATGCAGCCGAGGCCCCAATCCCTGGGGGGCCGTGAACTGCCTGATCAGCTCCTTGGTCCGCTCCAGCTGCGCCGGCGTGGTGATCGGCTCCAGGGCGCGGATGTAGTCGGCCATCGTTTCATCCAGCGCCGGCACGGGCACCTTGGGTAGAGTCTGCAAAAAGGGGTTCTCGATGGGGTTAGCAAACTGCTCGGTTCTGCAAATTTAATTTTATTTCACTTCCACTCATCTTAGACACTTGGCATTGCCCGCTTTTCCCATTTTCCCTTATTTTCCCCCATTTTCCTCATTTGTATGCATGGCAATATCGAGCGTCAAATGGAAAGTTTCCTATCCCTGCCACCAGCAACACAAAAAGTATATGCCCTGGGGAACCGAATTTCAAATCACGAAAAAATAAAGGGAAAAGAAATGGCATAGCTTGAATCTGACATTGTACTCCGGCTTCTTGACATTTTCTCCGAATCGTTTTTCCACCCTCGACCGGAAACTTAATTGAGAGTTTTGCCCTAGGAATTCCCCAGTTGGACTTCGAGGTCTGCAATCCAAATCGATTCTCTGGATGGTCAAGGCAGCTCATTATGGATGCAGAAATTCTGACTGCAGATTTATAAGTAGACCGTGTGTTTGAATAGATGTTAATATGTTCCTGCTGAAGAAAACACAACTTTCTACTTAACAGTCCACAGTCGAAACGTTAAAAGTGTCAACATGTCGTTGACTTCCGGATTTTTCTCTGTACTCCGCTTTCAAAGCAACTGAAACTTTTGTTAAACCCCACACGAAATACGGAATACCCAAACCCAGTCTCCTGTCACTTGTCTTTTTCGGTGGATCCCCTTTCAGTTTACAATTTTGATGTCTAACTCTGCTTTTGGGGGTTGTTGCCTGGCTGCTGTGCTTTTTTGCAGGTGAGTTCGAGGGGGTGGAAGATTCGGTGTGGAGTGGGTTTGGGTTTGAAAAGGTTGGTTTTTCCGGTTTGTTTGCAGGTTGGTTGCCAGGAGCTCGGAGCTCGGAGCTCGTGGCTCCCGTTGCCATACAAAAGCCCTCGTTATTTGCATTTGTAATTATAACAAACAGGATTAGTCTGTCTGTATGCCCGTGTGTCTGTGTTTGTCTACGAATTATTCAAGTAACAGTCGAGCTCAGCCCTTGGGCAAATATTTGCTGGAAAAAAGGCGGGAGGAAAATTGGAAATGGTTTAATCAATTTCTACTCACGTCAGGGAATCCGAATTCGTCCACGGACTCGGCCGTGGATAGCCATTTCTTCGGAATCGACAGAATCGAGTCTTTCCATCCTGCAAGTACAAAGAAAACAAACGCGAGGCGACGATCGCTGATTAACCACTTGTTGAACACCGAATTAAGTTGTTGAGTAATTTGCCGCAATCGTTAGACTGCCGCTACGAAAACTAGTTAATCACTGTCACCGGGTTCAAGTGCTGGTGTATCCGAAACATTATGGCCTTATCGATTGACAGACAGCCCAGCTAGAGAGACCAAGATGTATAGCCCATGCGTCACCGAGAATTCCGTGTTATTTGACGGATATTTTTCGGTCTCTACAAACCTTGATTTGATTTCCCCTATCTGCAGTTTAAATTACTTTCGTGGGGTTGCTTATCCCCGTGATGACCCACAACCATTTATCGCATCAACTCACATACAAAGATTCGGACAAATTTCGTGCAAGTTTGCCATTTATTGTCTTGCCCAGGCTTCCGCCAGCGGAATGCAATAAAATTGTTCCGAGGAAACTGAAAACTCTCGGGCTTAAAGCCGGGCTTATTTCCTCTCGGCTGTCCGTCTTATGGCCCCACATAAAAACTTTAGCTGTCATTGCTGTAATTCAACTGTATGAGCACTTCCGGTTGCCATTGCGCACGAGTAGCTCGAATATCCGGCATTAGTTCACATGGACAGGACACGGTTTCCGCTCCCTGGCAATGTTATTGTCAAGCATTTAAGGACAACTTTACAATCTAGAATTTTTATTTATCAGCGAGGAACAACGAAAAGTATGGGCAGAAGCAGTGGCGGATCCAGAATTTGGTTGTGGGGGGATATAAAAGAATTTGTTGAGTAGAAATCAAACAATTTGGAATAAAATACCTATTACATATACTTTTAAACCCGAGTGGGTGGAACTATCCCCTGTATCCTCTCCATTCCGTGGATCGGTGCATGGGCACCGTAGGACCATTCCCAATGACCATTTCGCTAGCAAATTTCCTACTTTATGTTTTAACGCAATGCAAAGAAATCGAATCCAATTTCTAATCCATCATTTAATAATAACCAACCCCTCCACAAAGGTAAAAATACTCTTATCTAAATTGCTGGCCACTTGAAGGCAACGCAAGTTGATATAGCAGGCACTTCGGGGTCAAAGCTTTGAACGCTTTGAAGCACTAGCACTCACAATTGAAAAGCTGCTCGATTTCCAGCTAAATCGGCCCCTTCCACCTTCGCAGGAAGGACAATCATAATGTTATTAATAAAATGGTTCTATGGCAAACGGGATGAAAGGAAAACGAGTAGAAAAGGCCTTCCTTTGCTTTATTCCCTTTTTTCCTGGCCAGGGGTAGTGGCACGCGCCTCCCCCACAACGATGTCAAATTTAATGCAATTTATTATCCTTTTTTCATTATCTCCCTAAAGATGCCCCCATGGATGGGAGTAACTAGCTGGCGGAGGTAATCACACAATGGAGTCACGTGGCGGCAATTTGAACGTCCGTTCTATTGTTGTCCTTGCCATGGAACATCGGCAACCACAAACTGTGACCTGTCCGTAGCGACCCATCATACCCATCAGCAAATTGTAATAAATTGTGTTAGGAAGCGTCGCTGAGAAATTCAAATTAAGTAATTAAAGCTCTGGTTTGGGCCACCCTCCTTTGGGGTGGCTTATCGCTCAGAAGATGGCTAATGTTTTTGGGGCAACTCGCTCGCTTAACAGAGCAAATATTAATTTACAAAAGTTGAGGCAAAGTTATTGCCTGTTACTTTCCCTTTTGATGTATAAATATAAATTCCAATTACCAAGTTTTGCGCTGTCCAGGCGTAGGAAAGTACAAGATATACCCTCCAAATTAATATGAATTACCTTAGAGGATGGGCAGTTCTGGGTAAAGTAAAGTAAAAATGAATTCCAGGAAGTTATCGAATAAAATTATATACTTCTAAATACAACTTTCAAAAGAAATGGAGTAATAGTAGAACCTTCATCTAACTGTTTGTTTGTGGCACGAAAATGTGGCAAATATTATATTTTTTTACTTTCCTTGATCCTAATAAGCTTAAATTAGAAGCCATTCCATTATTTTTTCGTGGATAAAAGGTGGAAATGTATCTGACTGCGTCACCTTCAATAATATGCATTGGCAGAGACACTTTTCCAATTGATTGATTGATGGCCAGGATTTCTGATTAGGCCGACAGGCTGCTAATCAGATATTCATGCACCATTTCAAAGGCAGACGTAGCGCAGTTCCGGTTCCGGATCAGGGGGCTTACACCCCCAAAGTAATGCTTGCCTATCCTCTATCTGTCTGCTTCAATTTGCTCGTATCTGTCAGTATTTCTGCCAACTCATGATTCGATTTGGGCCAAGCCATAACTTTTGCGGAAAGGAATCGATGCCTCGTGATTATAATGGCTGAATATATATGGGATAATGGGGATGGTGTGGGGACCAGGACGAGGACATTTCACACATTAACGGCAAGGAAGCTTGGGCTTACTGCCAACACGCCCCTACTTTAAACGCTGGCCAATAAAACGCGTCAGTAAACCGAGGGCTCATTATTAAGCTGCAAAAATCACGCTCGAATTCATGGCGTTCCGGGGTCCCCCTTTTCAAAAGGGACCATGGACCGCAGCGACAGGCAACTGCTGCCGCCTGTCAGACAATGCGATAAAAATGTAATCCCAATGAAAAATAATGTTTCTGCCGGCATGATTCCAATTTAGCAACAGTCAACCCCAAGACCGTAGCTCATTAGGACCAGTCCAAATAGCAGATGCCGGCAACCGGAGCAAATGAAGGAGAAGAATTTAAAAAGGCAAAACAAATCCGCACCCCAAAGGGGCAGGAGGGCGCGACACGTTGCGACTACATAAAACACCCGTCGAACAAGCCGGAACCGGGACCCCAAACCGCAGCCACGGACTGGTACCAGCATTTGGTGGTGGAAGGTACACCGAGATAAATTTATGGAAGACACTTTTAGAAAATGGTATTTTGTTGTGAAGAAAACACTGCAAAGAAGATATATTTCTTTGATAAAATAATAGAAAAACCCTAATAATTAAATGGAAATGGATTTTGAAAATAAATATTAAAATGATATAATATAATCTGCAAGTACTTCTAGATATTTAAAATGAGGAATAGGAAATTATAAAAATTGTATTTCTTGCCAAAAAGGATATGCTTCGATGCCATAACATTTCTTTACACCATGTAATAGGTATTCTATCTTTTAATACCCACTTGATAAAAACTATTTTAAAAGATCCAACAAGATAAATTATTTTGCTAGAATCAATATAAGTTTTATCTAAATTATATTATTATTATATATTCAAGTACTGACCATCACATTTTTTAGTATCGACACATAAATGAGTTATGATGAAAAATATATTTTAATATATTAAAAATATTAAAACCCTATAAAAGTGCATCCTTAAAGATATACCGTGTTCAAAATTTTAAAGACGTAGGGTATTCATATTTATATCCCATATCCTTAATGACCTCCTAATGCTACCATATATTTTTTCAGTGTCGGAAGCTGCCGGGGGTCATAACATTGTCGGATGTCGGAACAAGCGATGAATGGCCGAGTGAATGAGTTTTCCTCCTTTTGTTCGGTTTGGCTGCTCGTAAAGGGCTTTATTCCATTCAAGGGTGGATGTGGCTGTTTCTGCAGATGGGGATGTGGATGAGGATCCCATCGACGACGCACGCACATCGCAATTGAGCCGTAAATCCTTTACGGTCTTAGCGCCGTTGTTTCACGGCGACTGCGACTAGGTTGCTCTTTTGTGGGGACCCCGGGCTCGTCTTTATTTTCTTTTTCCGCCGCAAATGCCTAGCATACTTTTGTGCGCCAAACTCAAATTAACTGCCGCATTGAGGCATTGAAAATTCCAGTAATTGTTCGGATTGAAACAAGCGGAAAGCGTAAATTGCTTGCGTATTGTGCCGGAGATTGGGATTCTGCTGACTTTGCCTGCGGTTTGCGGCTAAGAACTCGGCCAGAATGGATGTTCCTCCGATAGACACACGACCTAGAATTGGTCCCCCTTTCGGTTGTGGTTGAATCTGGTTCTCAGCCTGGGGCATCATCCCCCCAAAAAAGCCAAAAAAGAAGGAAACTTTTGCCCAGTCTCCGGTCGGCTGTTCGTGACTTGAGCCAAAGTTGCTAATGGAAATTGCAAACATAAAATCATTTTCCACACAAATTTCTGGCCCCAGGGCACGCACACAATTCCCCCTCGAAGTGGCATAACCAAGTTCGTTTGGTTTTGGGTTGGGAAATATTTAGGTATACCATATACTAACCCCCAGAACTGGAAGATTGATGCAAAAGTTACGTTCCGTTTTCCCAGCACCAATACCAGGTGTACACTCAATGTGGCTCGATTTTTATCGAACTGCCAAGTCCTGTGTCGCCCACATTAGCTAATTAATTGCATTAATCGTTAATAGATCGGATGAGCTGCCAGTTTCCATTAAAAGACTCGTTTTTCCATGGTTAACAATTATATTTCAATAGTACATGTTTGTTTTGTGTTGTTTGTTTCTGTTGGGTGGTGTTGTGTGGGGTGTGTGTATGGGGTGTATGGCTTGCTCTGTAATAATGCATTATCGTTCCTCTATAGCTCATGCCAATATCTGTATGCTCTAATGTACGTTCGGTTATATTTTCTGCTTGCTCAATTCATTATTCATAACATTTCCCATAGCCAGAAGCAGGCAACTGCCACTTTGAATTCACTTTCGATGCAATCCAAATACGTTTATAGATTCATGCGAGTTTTCTATTTGTGTTTTACCCTTGAATAATTCCAGAAAATGTCAATGCCAGCACATGTTGTATTTGTTTTAACTCTTAATTTTGCTTGAATTGAGCTTTGAATTTTCTGGAAAATTCGCACACACTGAACCAAACTTCAAGGGTGTTTGTTTTTGAGGCAGTTCCTGCTTGATTTCCCTACTGTTTACATTTGATTATAGAGGACATTTTTGGCTTGCCTTGAAAATATGCTCTAGCTATGTTAAGTCATCGAACATCGATTCGCTTCGTTTTGATATGCATAGCACTTAGTTTGCTTAGTTTTTTTCTTGGGGATAGTTGAAGAACGGTGTGATATTCAGATACAAACATAATTACGTTTAGAATATAGATGGATAGACTTGGAAATTGAACAGCAACGTTACAGAACTGGGATTTGGATAGTTGGTAAAATTGTAGTATCGCCTCTGGTTTTGCATTTGCTTACTTATCTGTTATAATAATTTCCACTGTTTATCGTAATAATTATTGTTAAATATGTAACACAAACGTCTATAACATTAGCCGAAACAAATTGCAAAGACTTTCGTAATAATTTAGCTCCGTACTATATTAGTATGTACTTGAAACGCTCCGACCTTGACTTTCAAGAGTCAAATTACCAAAAAAGACATTCGAAACTAACAATATGCCTTATATACAATACAAAACTGAACTGTGGTGGCATTAACTTTGTGGGCTTCACTTACAAACTCATTTTATTTTGTCTAGGGTATACAATTAAATTTTCTAAAACGTTCTTCACACGCACAACACATAGAAACTGTCGGAGAGGCATTTCTCATATGAAAAAATATCAAATTATTTTTCTGTGCTACTGGTTTTGTTGCCAAGGTAAAATCCCTATATCATTTAGTAAATATTCGATATTAAAAATTAATTTGTTCATTAATTATCCATAGCGCACGGTATTGCGTATAATTCATAATTCATATAATGCTATTGAACATTCAACACTTGTAATACGCAGAGTATAACCATTCAATTAACTGCTATCGTGTTTTGTAATTCATTTTATAAATGTATATTTATATATATTTTATCATACATCGTTTCTTATGGTGTTATGTTTATATTTATATGCTCGTAACACATTTAGTTTATGCGTTCCATTTGCTCTTATTTGTTTAGTAAGTTATTACACATTGCCGGCACTGCTACCACATCCTTTAGGTTACTTTCTGCTGACCTTCTGGGACCCCGTCCTTTGACTACATTATGTGATGGTTATTACTTAGCTGTATATTTATATATTTATTTGTAAACCAAAACTGGAAGATTCATATACATGTTGCGCTCTACCAAACTTTGGTTAAAACTGTTCAAATCTATTGAAATCTTGAATGCCTGAAACTGTCATGTTTTACTTTTTGACATCTATCTACATCCAGCCTTGAAAGTCATGTAAAGATTAATCATATTTCAGTGAAGATTTTAAAGTTTATGTGAAGGAATACAGGAATGGAATTAAATGATATTTCCAAACTGTACATGACTTTAGGGCTGGTTTCTAGATGATTGTATCAAAGGAAACTTAAATAAATATTGCTTATTTCGGGGTTTTATTATATTTATGTTCGGTTACTTGTAATTAAAACTCTATTGTTACCTACTTAAATAAACAATCTATTTATAATATGTTACATAATAAATATATGTACGTTATTGACTATATTAATTGTTCTGGTTTTCTTCTTCTTCGCTTTTCATATATAAATATGTAGTATGCTTTAACACTTTATTCTTCACCACTACCTGTCCTTCGTTTTAATTGATACTTTTGATGGGAGATTTTTTCATGAGTTTAATTCATATTATAGTTAAGAGTATTTCTACAGTTTTGTAAATTTGTAGAGCTATGTATATATTTTAAGTGGTATGTAAGTGTTTATAAAACTAGGGAAATAATTAAAAAGTTTAAAGTATCAACGAACATAATCAAATGTAATGCAAACAATCCTTAAGAACAGACAACAATTTTCTACTTTATCTATTAAAACAAATTTAATGGAAACGCATATTAAAACGAGTGGTTCCTAAAATCCTATGAACGTAATTTGTAACTTCATTAAAATCAGTGCATTTCTGTTAATGTATAGTGTATATAGCGTATAACCAATTGCTTTCGTAATTCATAAGATACTCATACATATTTATATTGGGTCCGCATTGACAGCAGTTTCGAAATGGCCGTTTTACTGATATGTCCACGGATATAGAAAGTCTGTGATATACTCGTAACTAACTGTAATTGCCGACTAAACACATTCGAAAAATGTACATAATCATTCTGACATCCAATATACGCATGCTGAACTGTATATAAAAGATACATTTACTTATTCGTACAGTGGATCGTAGGGTCCAGCTAAAAGGTGTATAATATAGGGGCAATAAACAGCCCTAAAAAGTCGTGCAGTCGAAATGAATCAAAAATACCGTATGGTATGCATACAATAATCGTTTATCAATATGTTCATATGTTTTTCTTTAGGTTTATCTTTATCTTATAGACAAGGTACACACATTTATGCTATGCTATCGAAGATCTACTATGGCGGCAGTCCCATGATCGGAACGGCCCGTGTGCTCATAGAGTCAACAAGCAAATAATAATTGATTGGTAGGTAAATATGAAACTTGAATTTGAATCTCAAATTGATTTCCGTTTCCATTGGTTGTATAACCTATGTATGTACACTTCATGTACGGCCTAAAAGTAGGTGTGTATGTTACCGATATGATATGATTACCGATATATGTATAGACTAGTAGCAATAAGTAATATCACTTTTGGTAATTTTAACAGGCGAGCCATCGAGACTCTGATATGTATCGTTACCTTGGTTGTGTCTTATGTTAAGAAACGTTCAAATTAAAAGTTATTTCAACTGGAAATCATATAGCCTGGCTGGCCGGGAATCCACTCTCGTCCCAAGTCCGCCACAATGACAACCGAAAGAGTTCCTCTGGTTCAGCGGGCGGGGGAGGGTTTCGATTTGTGCAACTTGTGATATGTCTGCGATATGGATGCCATTGCCTGTGTAACGGCGGTACTTGGTCGAAAATGGTCCTCTGGCCAGCTGAGCCGCTTACAACTAGCTTGTATATAGATATATTTATATATGCGTGTATATAATATCTGATACATATTTGTATGTGTGTATATTTGATAGGGCGGGAGTCCAAAGGAAGTCCTCCCCTTATCGACTAACTATGCCTAGGCTTTGGTTTCTCTAGCTTCACTGACTGATAGACACGAAAACGGCTGCATGAGTACTGAGTATAGGGCATAGGCGATCCGATCGGACCGCTCTATATAGCTGCTATATGCTGATGCATATATGCGTAGTTCTAGCGATGGGAACTTTGTAGGCCATGGTAGGTTTTGGGCTTACTTGGGTGGAGGAATCCTCTATTAATCCACCTTTTGTCTGAAATTTATATTGTTTTCGCGAGATGTTTTTGACTTTTTTTAAAGTTGCTAGCCTAAATAATTGTTTTTATAGAATGATCTAGAACTGATATTGTACTAACAGAAGGTTTACAAGCTGTTTTGATATATTATTCTTTATCCTTACTTTTTTTTGATATCAGGAAATCTGAAAGATATAACCATTAATTTGATTTAAAAATCCTTTTTTCTTGCTACATATAACATCCTAGGATTATTTCCTTTAAAACACCCAGGTAAGCCCAAATCCTGCCTATCCCATCACTGATCTTAGTTGCTTCAACATTCGTGTATGATACAAAACTTGGTGCGGTGCATTAACTAGCTGCTGTATTAACTATCTGCATGTTATGCTCGTTATAGTGTACGTACCACTTGCCTATATGTCTATGCTAAATATATGTATATGTGTTTTGTGTTGAGTTTAGAGTGGGTTCAACAAAAAACGAAAAGAACACGGTTTAAGACTAGAGTTTCGGTTTTGCCTATGGGCATGGGCAACAGTTTAAAATCCTTGCCTAAAGGGATTCGCCGGACCGGCAGGACCTCTGCTCTGGGCCTGCTGTTGTTGTTGCTGCTGCTGTTGCTGGAAGGGATTGGCCACGCGGGGCTGTCCCTGGGGGGCGTAGCTGCCACCCTGCTCCTGGTAGCCCGGCTGGTAGCCCTGGTCCTGCTGATAGCCCCCAGCCTGTTGGTATCCCTGCTGCTGCTGGTACTCGTACTGCTGGTCATCCAGATTGGTCTCCTGCTCCTGCTGATACTGCTGCCCGTACTCCAGATGATTCTTGACACCGCCCTCCACGGGCTTCTGGTCGTGCATCACGTAGGTCTGGTACTCCTTGTTGGGCGGGTCCTGCATCAGGATGTTGGCCTCGTTCTCGAAGGGTTTGAAGTCGTAAATGTTCCGGAGCTTTCGCAGCACGGGCACATAGGCCAGGTTGGAGAAGGCTATCAAGAAGTTGAGGGCCGTGAATCCAATGGCTTCCACCACTCCTCCAGCGATAATGGGGCCCACGGCATAGGCAATGGAATAGGATATATCCGCTATGGCATAGATACTGCCATAAACCGAGACGTAACGCACATCCACCAGATAACCCAGTGTGGGCAGTAGAGCGGTGTCGATCAGGGCGATTCCAAAGCAGATCACACAGATGGGCAGCATGAGCATCTTGTAGCCACTGCAGAAGGGTATGATAAAGCAGGAGAAGCCCTCCAGGGCCAATCCGACGGCGGCCATTAGCCACTGGTGCTGTGGATACTTCCGGGCCATCTTCACCGTGATGACCACGCCCAGCACGTGCGGAAAGAAGGCGGGCAACCACACCATGCCAATCTTCCAGTTCTCCGTGGTCATGTTGTCCTCCATCCACAGCGAGATGGTGGGCTCCAAAAAGGCTAGCGCCACATTGGACATGGTTAGTGCACCAGCACAGACGGCTATGTAGGGATCCATGAGCAGGCGCCAGATGGGTATCACCTGGTCCTGCACCTCCTTGCTCTGCTTGATCGCCTCCTTGACCGGCTTCATCACCAGGAGCAGCATCAGGCCATCCAGCAGGCAGACCAGTGCCAGGATCAGGAAGGGCACTTCCTTGCCGGCAAACTGGTAGAGGGCACCGCCGAAAGGTGGCGCCACCAGGCAGCCAAAGCTGATGAAGGCCAGCGCAATTCCCAAAGCCTGGGATCGCTCGTTCTCCTCCGTGAACCGATCGGCTATCATGGCCAATCCGGCGGTGTCTGCGAAGGCGGAACCAGCTCCCTGGAGAGATCGGGCGAAGAACAGGACGCTGTAGCTGCTGCCGCAGGCGAAGACGGCCGTGGAGAAGAACATGATGGTCAGGCCGATCAGCATGGGTAAGTCGTAGCCGATCTTATCGATGAGGCCGCCCGAGAAGGGATTCACCATCAGCTGGACGATGGCCTTGGAGGCGAACAGGATGCCCGTGGCCGAGTCTTGGCCGTGGTGGTCATGATGCATGGGTATGATCTTCCCTGTAATGTTATCCCTCAAAGGAGGCGGCGTGGGCCCATCGTCGAAGCTGCCTATCTCCCTCAGATAGTCGGGTATGATGGGCACTATCACCATATACAGCATGTTGTCCAGCAGCAGGGCTATCGATACGATCACCAGGATCAAACGACGCTGGTTCACCGGCTCCTGGATCTTCTCCCACACGATCTCCTTGACCTCGCGCACTTCGAGGTTGATAACAGGTATTTGGAATGAGGCCATTTTGGTTGATTAACTTGATAATCGCTGAGGTGTACAAAGTTCTGGACCAGTTTCTTCTGGATTTCTCTCTCTCGCTATTTTTCCTTTCTTTTGTACTCTTCTCTGTTGCTTTAAAGCTTTTTATGCGCCGATCTGTGGGGCTGTCATGTTTTTACTGCCGGAAATACAAATGTGGCCGCTTCCGTTTCCGCTTTCTTTGCTCCTTTCGAGGTGGTTTATCGTTGCTTGTGGTTAACTGTGGTGTTGTTCTTGTTGTTTGCCGCTGCCTTTGATGTTGTTGCTGTGTGGTTTTACATGTTTTGGTGTGGTTGTAGTAGTTGTTGGAGGTGTATGCATGCCAGTGAACAACCTTTAACGACACAGAAACAAGATTTCGTTAGTCTTTTCTTTATTTTTGATGCTTGATTGTCTCGCCAGTGCGATTAAATTTATTTATTTTTTAATTTATTATTATTTTATGATCTTTCTTGCTCATTCTCTCCCTCTCTCTCACACTTAACTAGGATTAGTTGGGTTTATTTTATGATTGAAATGTTGTTTCTGTGTTGCAAAAGGCTGCCTGCTGGTGAACAGAAATATTGTATTGTATTATGATTAGTTCGTGGCATTGGCATTGTTTCGATAACATAGGATTAAGGATATCTCTTTTTCTTTTTTAAGTTTTCCTCTTCGAGGGACACACATTTCAATCATAAAACAAATACCGAAAAAGTACGTGTACATCTACAATTATGTCATTGAGTATTTGTGGGTTCAGGGTGATTATAAGGGTGTAGCAATTATTTTAATTGGATTTGTGGGTTTCTAAATGAAGGTGTGGGGTTTCTGTTGGGTCGTTCCCCCTGTTGGGCAAGTGAGACGAAGCAAAGTGTCCTTAAAGCCACACGGTTGCACTCATCGAAGCAGTAATTATAATTATTGCTTTTCCACTTAACTTGCACGCAATGGAAAAGGACTCGAAATTGAATAAAGACAGTTCAAGTGCTGAGGTGATACTGAAGTTTTTTCGGATAATACCAGATTTCTTATTTTTAAGATATTTTAAAAATATAATCTTTTCTTTTAAAATATAATTTGGTTTTTTATTGTTTTCGCTGCCAAATACGATTGAATTTTTAAATCAATCTCTTCATCTTATATCGTAAAGTTATAGAGGAAACTCTATGCTCCAAATACAGTTGTTTATATGGTTGAAAATTTTGAAAACTTTACATTGAGGAAATATCGTATTTATAAAAAAATACTTAAAGTCTTTTAAAGTTTTCTGAATTCTTTTGGTATATTTTGTATTGCCTGTTACCGGCTGTTCATTAGTTATTCGTGTTGTTCAAAAACTTCATTTAAGCCAACATCACTGCTGTGCCAGCTATCAATGCTGATCTAATTTCAACATTTATCTACCTTGTAGCGCTCTGCTACCAGCCACCCCCATTTGAGTAAACATGAAAATGCGACGTGTGCAGGGTATAAATATGACCCCCGCCCCACTTTTTGCTACTATACCATCCCCATCCAACCGAATTCAGAGCCGCCCCTTATGAGGCTTTGGTATATACGAGACGTAACAAAAACATTTCGTTTTATCATTAAATTTTCATGACCACGTCCGTGTATCTGCCCCAAACCTCCCCGACAACCTTGGGCTCCGTCCTGATCACCCACCCACTTTCATGTAGGTATGTATATATTTGTATATATGGATGGTAACAGCCCCCGGGCTGCCCATGAGTCAATTATGTTTTTCGACTGTGTGGGGGCTTTGCTTTTATTTTTCCATCTAGCGACTTTAATTTTTGAGTTTTCTCCATGCATGAGTACTTTCCCCTAACAACAAAAAACCGGAGGAAAACCAGGGCCGGTGGGTCAGGTGGGTGGCCACACTTGACCCTGGGGGTGGTGGTTGGTGGGCTTTTATCAGCACCAGGGGTTGCTCCCGGGTCGCCCGCCTGCAGCTGCTCAAGTCAAGTGCAGAAACGTGTGCCTACATGTTGATTACAACAAGGTCCCCACTAGACAGACCATTCAATGTATCTGACGAATATTAAAGAAATATTATAAAAAAGCTTAGGGAAAGTAACCTTAAAGTGGTTATCGTTTTGGGTCTTAAGTGTTAAGAAACTAAGTTACACATTTATATTTTAAATACAATTTTTGAAAAATGTAAATTGAAGTTAATAATACTCTTAGCATCAACATTAAAACCAATTGGGCTCTTAAATGGGCTTTTCAAATTGGTTTATAACTTAGATATTTTTATGGCATTTTAAAAATGATATACAATTTTTTGTTGATTTTTCTGATTTGACTTAATAAATCAAGAGGTTACAAATACAAGGAGAACTCATTCTAAGTATATGATATATTCAAGTCTAGTATTAATGAACTGGAAAAATCTCGACTTGAAATGAATGTTGCTAATAGTTTGGGAAAGCGTGGAATTGACAGTTAGAAAACTTAATCAACTGTAGAAAACTTAACCAAGTTGAACAAAACACATTCTTCTGCCAATGACAAGAGTTCAAAAACTTTTCGGCAATTATATAAATATTTGAGCATGTTTTCAAAGAAGTTTTATCTACTTGACTGACTTTACCTATTTGAGATTCCCCAGGGAATGGGAGGACACACCTACTTATGCCCTGTGCATATATGCCTATAAATGAGCCAGCAATTTGTATTTACGCTTTTATAATTTTATTGATTTTTCCACCCTGTCTGGCAAAGCTCCGCGGACAGCTGACGGATTTCCCAGGCAATACATAAACATTTACACAAAATTCGGTTTGGTTTTGGTTATGATTTCTCTTTGAGTTTCAGTTTCGTTTGGCCAGGCCCTTTGTTCAACCTCCTGCTGGGGGGTTTGCTTTTCATGTTTTTTGGGGTCGAGTGCCGACTTCCGACTGGCTCAATTAGCAGACCAAGCGTTCATATTTTATGCAGCTTCCACCGCAGTAAATTATGACAGCCCATGTGTTTTCCTTGGGTTCGGCCAGGGGAAGCAAAATGTAGTTTCTACTTCGGGTCTCATTAATAATGCGCTACCTGTGGGGCTTCCAGGTGCTGCCTGTCCTGGCCTGAAATATTCACGAGGCTTTAAGATGCTTGATGGCCATGTCATCTAGGCAAAAAACAGAATTTAATCTTCTGTCAGACAACAAAGAACGAGCTGGGATTGTGGGGCAGCAATTGTAGGTGAGGAGGCTTAAAGCCGAAGACCCTGCTCCCAAGGCAGGATGATCGCCGACTTTTGCCACCCGTCGTAACCCTGGGAACATCCGCAGCCTGCTCCTGTCGTTTTTCAAAAACAGCAAAGGATGTTTGCTTTTCCGAGAAAGGGGAATGAAATTACATTCGTTTTTTTAGCCCCAGCTCGGCGGGGGCGTGGACATCTGGGTGTGCCTGCGTCTGTCTGACGAGGTAATCAGCGTAAAATACAATTTCATTCTGCCTCCCCTGAAGGGTAAGACATAAAAAATACAATATCATGGGGGGCTGTTTGCATTTGCAATGAGTTGGCAACAGAACCGTGAGCTTTGGCGCTTCGCCATTGCCCCGGCAACGTAGCAATACCATTAAAATTAATAATCTCGAATATATTTCTTTCTTTTCTGCCAATATTTAAGGATGGGTTCAGGGTGCAGCCTTAAATAAACAGCAAATAAAATATATCATAATATTTATGGTAAGCCGCATTTCGCACGCAGGCACTTGACAAAAGGCAGCGGAAAATCCTCACAAGTGTTTTCGGTACCACAATATAGATTCAGATACCACCCCACTGAGAGAAATAAACTGAAACAGGGGCTTGTAAAACTCCCCGCAAGTGTTGTAAGCTGCTTTGTTCAAGTGGCATGAAGGGTTGAAGTTTGTTTCTGGGGGTGCGAGGGGTCAGCAGTTCAACAGTGTGGGGTTCGGAAGTTTAGAAACCCAGTCTGTAATTCGATGTGCTCGCTGAGGCAAATACCATATTCCCCAGCAATTGCCTCTAATGAACTGTGGCCAGCTAATGAGCCCCACCTTGGCCACCTCTTGATCGATTAACTTGGCCAACTTGGCCGTTGCCAGCGTTACCTTAACCCTCTTCCGACTGCCAAGTGACATTTCTGTTTCAAGTTTAATTGTCTTGTCCGCTGTCTTGGGCTGAATCGATTTTACCGGGTTTTAGTTTTAACCAGCTTAGCTGGTCGTTGTAGCCATTTTTTTTAATTGCCAAAGTTTTGGGCTCAGGATAATGTCAAAGGATCCTTTTTCCCTTTAAACCCAAACGTGTTTACAACCCTCTTAGCTGGTGGCTCTTGTTTTTATTGCTCTTATTGTTGTTTAGCCGATGTGCTTTTATCAACTCCCAGTGGACCCAGCAGCCACTTAGCCCGAGGATCCGTCCTCCAGTTGCAAACTGCTGCCCGAAATGGAAATAAAGGAGCGAGATGAGGCGCCATTTTGGATGGTACCACGGGGCGTATGAGCGGGCCCTTTAGTGCGGGGCTGCCTATAAATCAAAACATTAAATGGGCGTGGTCCTTGGGGGGAAGTGGGGGTACCAAATGGTCTCCTCTTACTCCATTTGTGTGGGTGTGCGTGTCTAATGTCCCTGTTTTCGCACACATGTCCAGTTTCCATGGAACATCCCTTTTTGGTCAACTGTGAGCGTTGGATTACAAATTGATTTGCACATAAATTACTCGGACTTGCCTTTTTTCGGAGGGAAAGTAATTTACCTTTATGCCTCTCATTCAGCAGTTCATGTTTCATGTGGTCTTGTGCACAGAAAACAAATAATGGCTGTAACTTCTAGCAGTCAAAACATTTAATAAAACGGGGAGCCATAAAACTGATTGGGATCTTGATACTTCCCCAAAAATCCGACCATAGTTAGTCTCAGGAGAACTAAACGTTCTTTATAAGTCAAACTTTGTTATTGTAGAACTTCTTTAAAATTTTAAGTATAGCTAGCAAACTTTTAAACATACAATTCTTGAAGTACTGCTTAGCATCTAAGTACAACAAAATTTATTTAGATTCTCAAAAGATTTATTATAACCAAGCATATTATACTCAATACAAAAGTCATTTAAAATTTTATATATTTTTTAAATATGTGTTTTGCAGCACACTTTCGAATATTTTACTCATATTCGATTATCACAAAGGTTGAAAATTGGTGAAATTTAATATCGTTATTCTATAACGGTTTATATGATATTACAATACTGACTAAAAGTTTTTCAAGTTGTATAAGAGTCATAAGTTAATGCTCAGTTTTTCTTTCTGTGCAATTTTGATTAATAGCTACGATAGCCTGTCTGTCCTAGCAAATTGCTAATTTCCAGCATCGATCCCAGGGCCTAAAATGTAATCATTTGTAGCTTGGCAAATGCGGAGCAATCAACAACACCATCAGCGACCGGTTTACGACTTTTGATGTCGCTACTTGGTGTGGATTCTGGATCCTGCCCTTGCTCCCTGTCCCCTTTCTACTTTCTCCAGTCCCCTGTCGCATTTTCCCCCTCTGATTCCGATCCTGATGGCTCAATGTGGGCAACCCTCGAGATGTCCGGGTGCGTTTCTTATCAGACAGCATCAAGACAAATGCGTTACTTGTTTCTCGTTTGGCTTATTACGAGCTACCTTCCGGCCAGCCTTTGTTTCTGGCGTTTCCAACCCCCAGGCTGCGGTAGATGGGTCTAAAAAATCAGGGGAATGGGGGCGTGGGTCTGTAGTTCCTCGTTCCTCGGTGGTTACAATGGTGGAGGGATGGTGATGGTGCGCCCCCTTTTGTTTTGACATGAAACCGCTATGAACACATCAGCGTTACAAACGCGTCTACAAGGCAAACAATCTAATGACGACGGCGTCCTCTTGTTTGTGTTTGTGTGTGAAATTTATATTTATTGCCTTCATTATGCAGCAGCCGCAGCACCAGAGAAAATTGCTTTCCTCTGGCAGGTGGCTCTGGGTTCGGCATGGTGGCATTTTCTTTTTCGCCCTGCTAGTTGCTTGGTCGCTGCTTAAATGAACTCCAGCTAGACCACGACTAGACCATCTGCATCTCCATCTCAGCCTCCATCTCCATTTTCCATCCCAACCAAGACGAGGCTTGTAATGATTTAATGGGACGACAGACACAAATTTGATTAGTCAACGCAATCTAATAAAAGCATTTGTTTGGGGTTCTTGGCTAATTGATTGTCAATTGATGGCCGCAGAAAAGACCTAAAACGGCGATGGATAGTGGAATTCTGTCCATTCATTGCCCATGGAAATTTCTTTAGAATTAAAAACATTTCAAATATTGTTGTAGAGGGCTTTTAAAAATATTCGTTAGCAGTGGAAAGTCCTCATAAAGAAAATTAAGTCATGGAAAATGTAAGGTTTTAAAATGGTTTTATTGATAAAGTTAACATTTATTTTGATAGCCAACCCCAAGATTCTGAAAAAGTTGTATATCCGTATTGTATATCTATATTAATTTAGTTTTTTCTATTGCCAAGGGGACACAAATCGAAGAAATTTACCATTCATTGCTGTTATATAAGTTATGCACCTATAAACAGTACCTCTTCTTTTGAAAAAGTTAATATAAAACAAACTTGAGTTTCTCGAAAATTAATACAATACAATACAAAACAACTATCAACGTTTTCTCCATTAAAAAAAATCACCTGGTTTGCCAGTGAATTACATAAGAAGCGCTCAGTTTTTGAGCTCGGGCGGTAGGTAGGCGGTCGAACGGTAACTGTTCCATTCCATTCCGTTCCCCGTTCGTGCGAGGAGGCCCATTGAGTGAAAAGAAACCTACGAACCTACGAGTTTGGTTTGGTTTTCTTTTTTTTTTGGGGCCATAAATAAAATGTGTCTACCCTGTGAAATGTGGCAAGTGTCGAGCTCACGAACCGAAACACCGTGCCCCTGTATATGCACTCTCATATAAAAACGAGGTGTATATATAGAGATACACTTGTGTGCCAAAGGACAACGCTGACGAGAGCGGGAGGCCTTTGAGGACGAGGACGAACCACTTGCCAGGGGCCCTGTGCTCTAGTGTTTGCGGGCTAGATGTTGTTTAATTTTAATTATATGCCTTCACGGAGGCGCCACGTTATGCAAGCACTTCATCCTACAACGTAGGGATCTGAGGAACTCACCTGTGTCGCTCGGTGTGATGTTGCTGAGGCGATGGGTGAGGAATCCGCGGAGATTGGAGACGACGCGCTGCGGCGAGTTGGGCCCGCTGCCAATGGAGAAGCTACGCAATTTCGAGAACAGGGCGGCGGACTCCGGGCCACTGCCCGCGGCGCTGGTGTTGGCCTCGTTGGACGCCACGTTCGCTCTGTTGGGATCGGTTTGGTCCTGGTCCTGGTCCTGCTCCTGCTCCTGGTTTCCTGGTCACTCAAAACCCCGCGCGCGTGATTATGTAAAAGAGCGCGCGGTAATCGATCGCCACACGCTCACACCGACACACAAAAACACTGACACTCTACCCGATGCAACCGCTCGACCGCTTCGCTCGCTCGCTTGGATTTTCCTCTATAGATTACAGATAGATTCCCTGGTCCACAAAAAATATGATTTCGATTTGGTAGAGCTCTGGAGCTCTGCTGCTCCGGGAAGTTCTTATTATTTTCTATATTTTTTTTCCAGGCGACGGGCGGCGAGACTACGGCGAAACAGCAGCAGCGTGCGTTCAGTCGTCCGGGCAGGAGCAAAGGTAACTTCTGTCTGGCGATGGTTTGCACAGTGGAAAAGGCCAGAGCTCGTCGCTTTTGTCGGTATTCAGCCTGGAAGGCCGAGCTCCCCGCCGTGCGTTTTTCCAGGGCGCAGGACAACTGCGCATGCGCCTGCGCCTCCGCCGGGCATCCGGCCAATTGGCTGGCAATCCTGCCCAGCCGTGGCTTTTCCCTCCGCTTTCCCAGGCCCATTACTCTCGCCCAGTTGAGCACATTTGAATAAAATTCTATTCGCACTGTGCGAAGAAAATCAATTTCCTTCGGCCACTCTCACCTGGCGGTGTTTGGCTTTACTTTTAACCATTTTGTCATTGCGTGCCTTTTGCGTTTGCCATTTTTTGTAGCACACATTTCGGGGCTTATGTAAGGCAGCCTGTTTTTTGGGGATTTATTTGCCCAGTTTACTTACTCTGCCTAGCCATAAAAACACCAACACACACTCACTCGAAATGTAATTAATTTACAACAATGGAATTTTTGTTTGTTTTTTTTACTGCCTGCACTTGTAATTATTTTACAACAACTAGCCTCCCTGTAGAGCAATCGGTAGAGCAATTTCTTTGATAATTTTCAGCAATTGCCCGAACAATAAGCAGACATTTCTTTTCAAGTGAGCCAGACAATAAGACTGTCGAGCAGAAAAGGACCCTGATTAATATCTGGTGTGACTGCAATGCAGTGGCCAACACCCGCAACAATTTCTATTCTGACACCCCTGTTTTTGACCAGCTTTTCTGGGATATCTGGGATATTTCTCCCCGACCGCCTCACAATTTGCCAATTTCTTTGTCATTTATCACTTGACAAGCACTTTCTGCAATTTATCAAAGCTTAACTTGGGCTCAGAAGGCCACAAAATTATGTTAAGACCATAAAACCGGGCACCCCGAACATGGCTTACTCAAGAATTCAATGGCAAAGTTTTCTGCTACATTCCCACCTTTTGTCTCAACTCTTTTTCTCTGTCACTAGCCTTTCATTTCTTATGCAAAAACTTGTGGGATAAAAAAGTTGACAATTTATTCACCGCTTTGCAAGTCTGGGTGATTAGGGCACAAGTTTTCCGTCGAGTTTTAATTTTTAATTTACAGGAAAAGCGGCGTCAACTGACCCACTGAATCGAGATAAGGTATCCCACGGATATGCCGCTAGTTAGTTGATTACATTTCCATTTGCATTTGCAAAATGCGAGAAAATGAGAACAGGCAGCTGAACTGAAAGTCATGTCAAGGTTAGAGCAGTTTTATTGATTGATTATCGGGCCTGAGTTCATGAATGGCATGACTCGCCCACTATCATTTATTCGTTTTTTTCTTTACACCTCATACAAAGTTTCGCTTTGCATTTAAAGTTCGCCCTGCCAAGTCCCCAATCAGCAGTCGAAAACCTTCAAAATCCAGCCACGTAAAAGCAATTACGAGTGTAAATTTTTGGTGTGCTGGAAACTATTTTTGCAGCTTCTTTTATTCGGTTTATTTACAAAGTAGAGTGAGAAACTTTTAATGCACCGATCGATATGAGCCCAAGGACCTGGGAAAATGAGGAGAACGAGGAGGAGGTGCTTCCTTCTCAAAGGTAAATCAAGGTGTGCCTCGTTTGCCCCATGTGCGTGTTCTTTGCCGGAGGAGTGGGTGTGGTCTTCTCTGGTGGTTAGGTGGTTGTGGTGGCTTGCCTGCTGCGGATGTTTGCAACGCGGCTTAAATATAACAACACTATGTATGCGGGGGCCAAATTATATGGCACAAGCGACCAGCGGGCCAACGTACTGTGGCCCACCCAAAAGTGGTTGGAAACAAGGTTACCTGGTACGCACCACGCGGCCAAAACAGAGAAAAATGTCTACAAGGCACGCAAGGCGAAAAACAGCGGACCCCAAGAAAAAGAAAACGAGCCCGTCAGGCACCCACAATAGACCAAACAAAAAGCATGGGCACCCAAAACTTAGCAGTGAAAATAAAAGAAATAATGCTGCTACAATACAGTCCAACTTCTTAAGCTCGAACAAAAGTAACGCACTTACTTATGAAAAATATTTAGTTAACAAACAAATCTTGAGAGAGAAAGGAACAAGTAATATTTTGCTTATGGGGGATGTATAAGTAAGGAAAGCTGACTTACTGAGTGCTTAAAAATATTTTATTTAGTAATGAAACATTTTTAAGTAACCTACATATCTTTAGTGAGATAAGAAATATTAATATTACATTTTAGGGGGTATACATAATAATAACAATAAGTCTTTCTGGGTATATTATAATTATTTTTTACAATGGTTTGTATGAATTACATTTCAAATGGTTTTTTATACGATTTATTTTATAGGGGATATATAATAAGCTTTCTAAATATTTAAAAATACTTTATTTAATAATGACTTATATAAAAAATACTGACTACCATTTCAAATGGATTTAAGACTGCTCTCAAAAAGTCTTCTTTTGATGTTACATTTTCTTAAATTATCTTCAAGAATTAAGACATGAATTTTCATGGCATCTGTAATGTATTCAAATGTGCTAAGGACAACATGTAATTCCAAAGCAACCGAATTCAAAATCTCCAGAGACACTCTGTGTCACTCAAGATGTAATTAATGTTTCTCCAGGGCGAAAAACATATGCATAAATTAAAATAAATGTATTGAGGACAAGCCATTTTCAAGTTAAGCATTTAAAGATGTTTAACAATATGTTCCGTACTTTCTTAAAGAAGCCTAACTGTCGGCAATGGCCCGTTTTTATCCGTCGTCGATTTGCGCCGCAGTTAAGCTTAATACAATTTTAATTTACAGCTAATTGTTTGACCCGAGAGATGTGCCATCATTTGTCATTTTGCGAAATGGAGCCGCCTAGGCGATTAATTAATTCTCCGCCAGTAAAGTGGTGCAAACAATTGAAATTCGACACCGGAAGGTGACCGAAAGTCAGCGGAAAGTTCCAGGATGAGGGGGCTCGAGAACTCGACGCTCGAGGCAATAAATATGAGGATAAAATGAACTTCAAAGCGGGATTACAAGCCCAGTAAACAAGCCAGACTGCAGCATATTTAATTGCGTACCTTAATGTTTATTTTCAATTAGGGACTCAGTCATGCCAGCACGAGTGCAGTAATGCCGGGGGTATGGTGTTATATGCCGCCTTTTGGCAATTAGATGGCGGGTTAGTCTGGCATCTGCTTGGATGTAAGCGAGCCGCAAAACAGACACCACGACCACTCTACAACCACCACCGGCAGTAAGAAAAATAAAACACAAAAAACATGCCCAGAAATAGAAACAAAAACAACACTTGTAAAATAACACGCTGCGCCTTTGGGTCTCGTTTTGGCCAAGGTGAACCCCATCCACCCATTTAACCCACCCACCACCTTATAATATACACCTTATACCTTGTACCCACCCTCCTGCCTCGTTACATTCTATCGATTTTTATAGCATGTGGGTATTTTTGAATATATCTTCTCTTGGAAGGCGGACCAGTTTGTTGGTAACGAGAACTAACGCTAAATGCCTTAAATCCTGCACTGGCCTAATTGGATTTCTCCGACCGCAGCATATCCACAACCGGTTCTTGGCATGTCCTGCCAGTCGCAAGAACCCCTTTTACCATCCTGTCCTGGCCTGACCACCCGTCACAGGAGGTTTAAATTATATTTCCCTTCAAATATATTTCCACTGCCATCCAGCTTGATGGCTTCATAGTGCCGCCGATCCTTTCTGCGCGATATTGACAGCCAGATAGACAGCAGGATACCTGCCAGCCTGCCAGTCGGGCTGTTGGGTTGTTGGGTTGTTGGGTTGTTGCTGCGGCTGTCAGTGGCAGAGTCTGGATTTTCGGTCCCTTGCTGGTGCCACACGCTTCCCCTGGGCGCAACGTTTGACGGCAGTCACGGAAATTCAGGGGGAGTCGGGTTCCCGCTGCGACAAAGTTCATTTCGGTGCTGAGACGACACAGCAAGTGGCAGCCAAAGGTAAACAAGGTATGATACGTACTCAGAAATTGCTGGGGACATCAGGATTTATCAGGGCTGAAGAGGTGCAACAACGAGGAAAGTCACTCTATTTTGCAGTGCAGTTGAAAGATGTCTGAAGCTAACGAGTATTAAAACCGATTTTTTGAAAGCCCTAGTATGGTTATATGTGCAGATTATAATTAAGAATAATGGTAGATGATTTTTTAGACGTTTAACACAGCGAATATTACAAAAAATGTCTACAGAGTCGATTGTCGAAAGGGCTAGTTAGTTGATAATATATGAAAGATAGCAAGATTAATTTGTTTAAAACAATCTAATTGACAGCTATCACTTTCCCAAAAGACTTCCTAAAAAAAAAAAATACATTTTGATTAATAGTTATAGGCCAAAGTTTAATGGCCAACTGTAGGTTATTAATATTTTGTTCAATAAATTGATAGGGAACATTTTTGACAGGTCTTTCCTTGAGTTGCAAGATTATAAAGATAAAAGATTAAAATTATAAAATACAATTCAAATATATTTCTCCTCACTTTAAAG